CGAGCGTTCATGCCGTGCTACTCGGGTCGCCCTAATGGGATGCGTAGAACTCAATCAATGAGTATGCTTGGACCAGTAACCGAACCACGAGTCGTGAAGCACCGTAGCCGTCGGGATACTGATGACAACAAGAACGATGGTGCGCGGCAATATAATGACTATGACAAAGTCGCTAATCATTGAGTGAGTGACAACCCAGATAGTGTGAGCCGATTTCGTGCCGCAGCACCATCGCTGAGCAGTAAGGCATAAGCTGTTGGAAAATCGCCACCATCTAAGTGGTTGTTAAACCTTGTAGAGATCTCTAGCAGAGTGTCTCTTTGATTCTTTTCTACCCTGTGTCGGTCTTCCCCTACATTATGTAGGCTACATATCGTAGCAACTTGTGTTACCATCGTGATTGAAATACGCCCATTTCTGGCTTCACGTAAAGTTGTGTTTGTTCTATTGGAAGTGACTCGATACTACGTTCGTGAAGACGTTAAAGGCCCCTGAACGTAATTGATGCATTTGAACCAATAATGTCGTCCCGTGTGAAAGCAGTTGTACCAGGAAAATACATACCAACGCCTCATGATTGATACCAAGCATGTAACATTCGAGGCAAACTTAGTGCAACTGGTGCTGGCCGACACCTACCACACATCGAAGAACTCGCACTGTTCGACTCTATCATCATGTAGCGGCCAAAGCGAGTACTTCCTCGTGAGGCGACAAATATGCCGTAGTCTTCACCAGCAGTTATGAACGATAGCAAAACGTTAACACAGCCTAACCATGACATTACCGGACCACTGCGAAACCTGTGAATTTTGCGCCTGCGTAAATCTCGCTCGCCCGTAGCTGATCGATTGGATATCGTAAACCCCTTATCAAGCGCCCGAAGCCGCGTTGGTACAGAAGCATCAGGCCTCATGAAGACTATCCACTCTCAGATCGACATTCAGATTCCTGAGGATGGTAGTACGGGTTGGATTCTGTAGGGCGTTGCGGTCCTTATCTCTGAGATACAATGAGGATGTGAGTATATGGGAGTCGCCCATAGGTATTAATGTAGCTCTCGATTATAGACTAATAATTGATGATCACACAGGCCATCCTATCATCAGAGATCTTTAAATAAGAGTCCATTATTGCTCTTTCTTCAGTCAAGGTGACTCTTAAGTCCCGTCATATCGTTGTCTCGGGCAAGTACGGCAAGCTCGAGCGAACTTTCCGTCATATCCCTGTTGACATGAAGCTTGTCGAGGATGGCAGGAAGATCACTGTCGAGATGTGGTTCGGTCTTACCAAGAACAAGGCTTGCATCCGCACTGTTTGCTCTCATATCGAGAACATGATCACCGGTGTCCGTCAGGTGAGAGCCGCTGAGCCCTTTTTACAATTATCTCCGTTCCTTTTCAGAGATACCAGTACAAGCTCCGTTTCGTGTACGCACATTTCCCTATCAACTCCAACATCACCAACGACGGTTCCACTATCGAGATCCGTAACTTCTTGGGTGAGAAGGTTGTACGTACTGTCGACATGATGCCCGGTGTCTCCGTGAGGAAGTCCGATGATGTTAAGGATGAGGTCATTGTTGAGGGTGCCGACTTGGAGCTTGTCTCCCGCTCTGGTAATAATCAGAATTAGAGTATTAGTCACCCAGTGGAGTCAATGCTCAATACCCTTTTTATTGTTTCAGCTGCTCTCATCCACCAATCGACTCTTGTCCGCCACAAGGATATCCGTAAGTTCTTGGATGGTATCTATGTGACTGAGTCGGGTGTGATTGACCAATTGGAAGAGTAAACAGTAGCAATGGCTTGAATAGCAGCAATGCTAACAACATCTCTGCTGTGGATTATTTCTGGCCACCAGCGTCGGAGGAGAGCTTCTGTGAGTACAATATGTCTTTTGTTAATAGTATGACGATCAATCGGGGAGATAGTGGTATATTACCTTGCTGGGGAGCTCCCCAGAACTATTAATGGGTTCTCAGTAAACTTCTGCTCTAACTCGTTCTGATTTGACATTTGGTTTGTCCCTCGCTGAATAGTAGGCTTGTCCCTCAATCAGTGCGGTATAAAGTGGGATGTAATCAGTTTAGTACCGTCGAAGATACATGATGGGCAGCTCGAATGAGGGAGCTCTCCATGATAACAAGGATGCTTAACGTGACGGCGCTCAAGTCGTCGAGTTGACTGTTGGTCACTCGCCTAATAATGGGTACCAACGAGGGATAATGTATCATCATAGATCGCATATCGTCATACCCTAGTAGGTTATGATGATATGTGTTCCAGAATATCACTAGAGACTACTAGTGTAACCCGAGAAGGCCTCCTCCATCTCTCATGTTCGACCATAGGGACTATTGTTAGCAAGATGATAACACTCGGCTGCTATGATATGCCTTAGTTCTAGTGTGGTAAGAAATGTGCCTGTAAAATCTAGTGATATGTTGTACAGTGAGAATGAGGTGAGAATCATCATACTGCATCTTGTTTTCCGCAATCCACTGACGTTTGGGCTATCGAGTGAAGTAATCCTTAATTGGTGGTGAAAGTACAGCATTACCTCTCCAACAATGTCGTAGAACACTGTTACGGTAGAAACGGCAAAATGTAAAACCTGAGTGTTTATGGTAGTGTACACTGGCCTCCTGTTCATTAACTAATCCAACAAATGTATAGTAGGTATAACATGAATGTAAGGAGGAGCGTCATGGAGCTTTAATGCCCCCTCGGTTTACAACACTACGAGGTGCAATAATCTAAGCAGCATTAGTTTGACTCCTGTGGAGATATGGGAAATCTATATAATATTGAACAATCCTTCCTTCACGGCTCCACGCTTAATAACCTTCCTTTCACCACCTGACAATCGATCTTCCGCTGCGACGAGTAGTCTGAATGCCTGAAGGATAATACGTAGGAATTCGTTGTACTCGTTGCTCTTTACATCAGTGTTGGGACCAGCCATAGAGCTAGGCTCTAGTCCAAAATCATTGGTCGTAAAAGGGCTAGCATGGGCCTCTTCGAGTAGCAGTCTAACTAGCTCTGTATTAGATTCTTCTGCTGCCACGTGTAATAGTGTATTCCCTTGTGGTGGATGCTTATGATCAACCGCAGCCCTACACCATTCCTTTGTTCTCAAGAGTTCCATCACTTTATCGGTATCATCACTACAGGCATACTTGTACGTATCATAGACATCCGCAATCTGACATCATGTACCATCACTATCATCAACGATGACACTCTACGCGGTACAGTGGTATTATGACCTCTGATTCACTGAGATTGGCGAGCAAGGAAGGAGCACCACCATCCCGTAGTCCTATGGTGAACTCTTCCATTAATCGTACCGTTTGTGTAGCTGTATGGTCCCTTGAATCAGCGGAGATGTAGCTGATACGAAGGGCCGTATGGCATAATGCCTTAGCCATCTCGTTATTACATCCGCTCACTTGGTGATGATGAATCAGAATGTTCTTCAATAGATGATGCATCATCATAGGAAGAGCGTGATCCTGACGCCCCTCCACCTCGTATGCCGGTTATATGACGATTATAGGGTCTTGTCATGTGATGATGACAACACACGCCAGATGAATGAGTTGAGATCTCTTGAGTCGTGACAAGTCTTCAAGAATTGTCCGTCTCAAAGTCATTCGCGTTCGTTGTAGCTGTCATCATCATGGCGACAGTCCCATACTTCTCTCTAGTAGACGAGGATTTCACTCGTAAATTAACAGAAGACGCAGCAGCAGATGATGATATTGATTATGAAGAGGATAGGAAGCTAATGTACCATGCAGTAAAAGAGGGATGTAATAGAGCTTATCCCCCGTAGGTATAAGTGGGTACTCTGGGAGCAACTACAGCCCAACCAGAAGGCTAGTGCTGCTGAATGGAAAGATCTATCAAGACAGGCAATACTTCATAGCATGATATTGGTGTAGTATTGATATCAGGTATGCACGTTTGGTACTGTCGGGGAGTTTTGGCGATATTGGCGACATGTACCCCAGCCTAGTGAGCTGTTGTCTGAGGCTGGAGGGTGCCGCTTTGTGAGGGAAGGGGATGATGGCTCTTTAAGAGTCGTCGAGAGTAATATTGTGTGATACATAGAGTTTATTGTGGTAGGGACTATTGACATCGAAACTATTCCTTATATAGGCATGATGGTCTTCCGTGATGGTATCAAACCTGAATGGGAGGATCCTCTCAATGCGATTGGTGGCCATCTTCAGTTCTCCCTCGGCCCTAATGTTGGTGGTAAACAGATTGACGAGTAATATATTACAGCAAGCCATTAATAACATTAACTCATCATTGTGGCTTTTATATTGTAGATATTGGAACAACATAGTATTGGGAGTCATTGGCAACACATTACCATATCCTGACATGATCACTGGCTTGCGTCTCTGTGATAAGCTGTAATAATGCCAAAACAACTCGTTTGACTAGCAGTGGTATCTAATTAGGTACACGAAGCGAGGACCTCCTCAAGGATCTGTGAGGATAGAAGTATGGTTTACCAACATGGCGGATACGGAGAAGGTTGACGAGCTCACCAAGGGTATTCAGGAGTGTATTTGCACCAAGCTTGATGGTAGTACTAGTCAATATGGTTAGTGGGTCAAGCTCTCATCCCCCCAGGCACTATTAGTACTAACTCACCTAAATACGATCTCAAATCTCATGGTGGAAAGCATTGAGATTTGAGACCTACTTGCTAGAGGGGTTATCAGATAATATTCATCGACATCGACGGTATGCTGTTATTATCTACGGTATTATTTGTATACCGATTATCGCAACAACTCTATCCTTCGGCCACTCGCAATCTTCCTAACCGTCTCTATCCACAAAGGCTTGAGTCTAGTACCAATCATGGTCGTTCCCTCACCACCATTGGAATCTCGTCAACCTTCCGTCGATAAATTGACAGATCGTTGATGTTATCCCGAGCAGTGAATAGAAAGTACTCAGGGATAGGGGAATTAGGCATTCCCCCAGGGCCCTCGGAAGCAGTCTGGCTTGCCCCGCACGCTTGGTTTGCCCAGAGGCCCGAACTTTCAAAGAATCCAGAGTTACGGCGATAATTAATATCATTCTCGTTTCTCTCAGTACTGTATCATTATTGGATGGATACCACACCTCACTCCACCCAATCTCAAGGGCTACACCCGCCAAACCAGCCCACGACAACAACACCAACTTCGACCGATGTTGCTCATTTACAGGCTGAGGTCGATTCCTTGCGACGGCTCATCGAGAGAGCTTTCCCTATACTGGAGATGAACCCTCTGTATTGTGTCCCATTGAAAGATCCCTCTACTACACAGGAGCGGCACTGGCTGGTAGTATCTGGAGGAGCCTGATGTACACTGAGGCTTGTTGTTAGGTATCGTACAGTGGTCATCATTCGGGAGGTATGATCCACTCATGGATACCCTACGCATTCGAAGCAGCATATCGGGATGCAAACCTCCTACCCACAGAGTCTGAACTGATACGCTACGCTGTTTCTCATCGTCTTGCCGATCCTGGTAATAGTAGCGGTTGGAGTTTCGTGCTACCAAGGGGTTGCCGACTCGTGGATCGGGTTTAATTAAGATATGCTTAGGCCAAGCCAGGCGGGAGCTACACGAATCGCATCAAGAGACCTCCAGCGGGGTATTAACGAGATGCTTGGTGAGATAGGTTTGTAGACTGCATACCCGACAATCCCATGCTTCAGGAGTTGCATAACCCAAACATCTCCACCATTGAAGGCAACATTCCTAACGATCAGGGAATGGAGTTGGAGCACTCCACCAAGCTGTATCTGCCAGTCTGTAGCTTGTTATGTGTAGAGCAGATAATAGTATCGGTAATACCTGGGCTTATCGCATTCATGTGCATCATATTGCTTCATCATCATCATCATCAGGTAAGATACCTCCTCACGGAACATATTTATCCCTCTATTGGTAACATATCCATATGTCTTCATGTGGCATTCTCATTGCGTCACATCACTACCAATGACATACTCACTTGTGCCAAGTAGTAGTAGTACTAGTAGCATCATCAACACCATCTCAGTCCCTATGCTCAATGTCTAGGTTCGGTGTAGAGGATGGCCGTTTGATCGTATCTGGTGATGTTATCCTTTTGCCTCATCACCAGCTCTCTTCTCAAAGGTAGTAGGATTGGTTGCCTATATCGTTAGACTGATCATCTATTCAGTTCTACCAATGGAGATGCTACTAATACTAAAACAGTTTTCACATGTTATCCACAGAAGTATATGCAGTCCGACGATCTACATGTACTCCATACAGTAGATGACCAGTTATTGGTGAGCACTGTATTACAATTGGTGGTAAGTAACGTTAACCATTCGACTCAGGAATCTGTTAATTCCTTCTATCATATGGCCAAGGAAACTACGGTAGCAGCAGAAGAGGAAGAGTCGAGCCCCTTCCGTCTGGCCCTGCTGGCTAAAAAGTAGTTGATTGATAGTGGATAGAGAGGTTGATGATATCTATTCATATAGGTCCTCTCATGATGCGAGTATGTCCGCCGCTCCTATGGGTCTGTTGATATGGTTGCTACAGAGATGCATAGCTAGAGATACAGCTTCTGTGGACCATACTGCTACTACTACTCCACTACTGCTATACCATATGCCTCGATGCCCACTATGGCCAGAGTGCTGTGGGCAACAGTATGGTGACGGTACCAGCAAACAGACACGAGCAAGAATAGAGCTTCGTGCTCTTGGTGAACTGAACCAGACATCAGTGGTCAATGCACGCCCTAGTGTCGACAGTAGCAATGCTTCGGCTGGAGAAGGAGTAATCGGGATCATCCCCACGCGGATAGTGCAATACGATATAAGTCAGGCTCTATCTATTCCCTCTCCATCGCCTGCAGCAACAGCAAGATCAAAAGTAGCAGAAGCACCGGGCAGCGTGCCCAAGCATGATGCCGATGTTCCCCAACATGGTGATGATGATGATTCGTCTTTGGCTAGAGAACAATTATTGTTCATCCATTGCTTCAAAAACGAGTTATTGGCTGGCCAAGGTATACTCGTCAATCAAGTGAACAATTTATGCAAGGTAATCCCAATATTATAGATCGTGAGGATGGTAGAAGTATATACAGGTCCGTTGTGGACGCACAGTTCGCTATCGCGAGTTCGGTTTTGGAAAACTGAGAGACTTCCTAGAGGACATCAAAGGTCTGCAAGTTGTTGGGGAGAAATTCCAGATGACGGTAATGCTGCTGCTAGCAGTTCCCCTTGTTGTTATTTGTAAGGTAGGGTTGCATAATCATCAGATACGCCTCACTGATGTATTTGAGTTTGATTTATTTATACGAGAGGCCAATGCTCGTAAATCAGGCGGTAAACCTGAGTGCCTGTGCCACTTTATAGTGTCCTTGTATCAGGTGGTGGTCATCACACCTCGACAGCATCACTTGGTCTCAACAAGACTCATGAACGAGATGGAAAAGAGGATTCTATGGTTAAAGGAGAGTTTGATAAGGATGATGATGATGATGAGGAAGCTGAACTGAAGCATCTCACACTACCACAGCTCATACCTGAGGATGTTATAGACAAGCTTAGGTAGCAGCAATATTCATATCAAGTCGCAGTGCGACTCTCGCACATTGTCATAGATACATGTTCTCCTGTGAACATTATCAGATAGAAGCATCAGTATTCGTATCATTATTCAAGAATAGGTAGTAGTGATAGTACTACTAGCCTTACCGCACTCCCCAGTGCCCCTTGGAAGATACTTCGCCAGTGACCCGATGGTATATGAGCGTCTAGGGTATAAGAGAATGAGAGACTTCTTAGGAGCAGTACCACAAGTACATAAGCAGGGTACTAAGGCGGAGTCTAAGTACGTCTAAGGAGGCTATCTTACATCATATGTAGTCGAGCTTTAGATATGTATGGGTAGAGAATTCAGCACCATTACGGCTATCTCAGCTGGGGGTCCCTTCTATTGGGTAATACTGCTACTCAGAGGTGTTATATACCACCATTATTATTAGTGGCCACAGCGGCGGCTCCAACGGCAATGCAACAGCCATTGATTTCCTACATTCGACATCGTCACAATCATCAACTAGTATCTCCAACGGGGATACTCTCCAAGGTGCAGGGTTATCCTTCTCACTGGTAATATAACCTCTGATGGTAGTACTAGACATTATGATGGTATCTCTTGTACAGGATGATATAACACAGAAGAATATTGCAAGTATAGAGGATATCCTCAATCAGGCATCTACTGGAGGGGTACACATTGCTGTAGCCGATCTTCTCACTGGTATATGTGGTGGAGCAAGTAATGGTTTGGAGAAACTCATCGGCTTCAGTCCTGCTGGAGTTAATATTTACAAGTAATCATTGTATATGAGCGAAATACCATAGATATCCCTGTACAGGTTGATACATCCCGATGACAGAGTATCGGTTAGATTGAGGATTGATGAGGCTATGGCGATGGGGCTCAATAGTGTAGATCTCAGTACATTCAGGCTTAGATCATCATCATCAACAACAACTCCTTCCAACAATACAATAACAGTAAGTCCTATAGCAGCAGTATGATATCAGCAATCCTTACCGTTAGGTATCAGGAAACGCATCCTGGCTGATCGGTAATGTGTGGACGATAAGCTTGGTCAGTGTGTCGTAGGAGGAAGTCTCTATGAATAGTGATAATCATGATGATTGGAGCAGCATCAGAAGCAGTGATGAGCGAATACTTGATTGAAGATGACCCGAGACCAGTGTCAAACGACGTATCGAGCATCATATCAGTATTACGCTCAACCGCTTCTTCCCTGTGTTCTAGTATTATCCTCCCTGTTGTGCGAATTGCATTTGCAATGGAACTTATTTCCTTCATTACCAGTTTCGAGTTGTCCTTGATCAATCAGTAGTGGAGCCAATATTAACGCCCCCACGTAGAACATCTTGTGCTCGTCAACATGTACCAATGACAGTACAATGCAATGTAGAACTCGATAACTCTAAATTAACTATGTTCCCGTTGAAGCTCTCATCTCTGTTGTTCAACATGCATTTAGTAAATCATTATAGAGTTGGTATCTAGCATCGACCCAAGCAATACGGGGTTACGGGAGATTCTTCATCCCGCTTCACTTCAATAAGGTAAGATGATGATCAGGCTTATGTTGAAGGTATGGTCTCCACATCCTAACCCTATATATCGATTTGCCGTTCTCACCATTCTCTTGGGGAAGAAGGGGTTCAGTTTCCTGGTGAAGCACTGTGTGTGGTTTTGTAGTGGTAGTATACCCCAACCTGTGTAGACAACGTGCCAACACTTGACACACCACCATATTGCAGATGGCGCTCATTGTAAACACGTCGTCAATACATGGTAGTTGTTGAAGTCGCCAAGGAGGAGATAACTCTGCGCCACATTCTCGCTCGCCCGATAATCGATCAGCCCTAGTAGCGTGGTATCAGTAGTGTCCTATAGAGTCTCCAACGATGCCCGAGAAGCGTTTCCAAGCAAAGGGTGGCCGCCGCACCAAGCAGCCCGTACGCCTTTACTCCAAGGGTGTGCTCATGGGACCCAAGCGTTCCAAGGTAATACGATCTCGTAATACCACTTCTACGACGCGGTTTGAGAATATTTCTGCATGCCAACTTAGACGCCGTGGGTCTTATTGCCATCATGCTTGTTCTTTGTTTTCAGTGCAACACTCATATGAACCAGGCTTTGGTGAAGATCGAGGGTGTCCACTGCACTGAGGATGTCGATTTCTACCTTGGCAAGCGTATCGCCTACGTCTTCAAGACCAACACAGTCAAGAACGGCTCCAAGTTCCGAGTAATAACAGGGCATCCTAATCGCAGCTCATAGTATACTATGGATTCTAGATTGGTCTATATCAGCTCGCTTGCATGTTGTACTCTCATTCCGTTCCTTCTTTCAGTGCATGTGGGGCAAGGTTATGCGCGCTCACGGTAACGCTGGTACTGTCCGTTGCAACTTCAAGAAGAACCTTCCCCCGAAGGCCTACGGCTCTATGGTCCGTGTCATGCTCTACCCCTCTCGTGTCTAAGTTGATGCTGATGACGACAATGCCATCGTAGTTGTGTAATACATCTAATAATATCACTTCTACATCCGCAAGACGAGACACTTTGATGGACTAGGACGAGACTTGGAAATGATGAGTATAATGTATTGAGTTGTCAAGTATAAATCAGCAGTTTTTCGGGGATTCTGATGCTCAAGCCTTGATGCTCTTCTACAGAACATTCTGTGAAGCAGTTGTTGCGGTGTCGTTGCAATGAAGTTGAGCTATGGTTTAACTTCTATCTATTAGGCGAGATTTGCAAAAGGTACAACATACATTCCACATCTCAACTTATGCTCTTTGTAGTCTTCGTAAGCGATCTTACTGCCAAGTGTAACAGCTTGTGCGTTATAAACTCGAGTTAGGATGTCAGTAGTTGGAGCCGCAGGCAGTTTGTATTCCCGTTGTGATTATAACATGGCCAATCTTGGTGGTAGTAATGAGCATGCAAAGTATGTTCTAGCTATAGACCAGGGAACTACCTCTTCACGGGCGATTATATTCGGAGATGATGCTCAGGTGCTGCACGTAAAGGGTTATCCTTTCGAACAGAAATATCCTAATCCAGGATGGTGTGAACAGGATCCATATGCTATATTAGAATCAACAATTAAATCAGTTAACGAGGTGGCAGAATTGATAGTACCCTATGGTAGTATAACAGCAGTTGGTATAACTAATCAGCGTGAGACAGTTATAGCATGGGATAAGGTAACTGGTAAACCATTATATAACGCTATTGTATGGTTGGATCTGAGGACTTATGATACTGTAAAGGCTCTCACCATGGATGGTAGTAAAGATAGATTCCGTCATATTACTGGATTGCCCATCAGCACTTATTTTACTGCACTCAAGATAAGATGGTTATTGGATAATGTTGATGAAGTTAGTGATGCAGTAAAGGAAGGAAGATGCCTTTTTGGTACAGTCGATTCATGGCTTACATATAACCTAACTGGTGGACATAATAATGGTGGAATACATGTCACTGATGTTACCAATGCATCAAGGTGAGAGTCCTGCCAGTTGCCATTGCACAACTTTAGGCTTGCCATGTAGATACATGCTGATGGACCTGTCGAAGCTTGAATGGTGTGAAGACATTTGTAATGAGCTAGGTATACCTATCGACACCTTGCCCAATATAGTACCATCTTGTGGACATATTGGTACCATAGCTGAATCACCATCACACCATGGCTTGGAGTTACATCCCTCTCTCCTTAATGTACCAATAACAGCCATATTGGGTGATCAACAGTCAGCGTTACTAGGCCATGGTTGTGTAGAAGATGGTCAGGCTAAGTGTACCTACGGCACAGGATGCTTCATGCTAGCCAATACCGGCGATAAGATTATACAATCATCATTTGGTCTCCTAACCACAGTAGCATTCCAGCGAGAGGGAAGCCCTGTGAAATACGCATTGGAAGGTTCGATAGCTATAGCTGGCAGAGCTGTACAATGGCTACGCGATCAACTGGGTGTAATAGAATCGGCACCAGAGGTAGAGGAATTGGCCAGTACAGTACCCAATACAGCTGGTGTTACTGTAGTACCTGCCTTCTCTGGTCTATTCACTCCACATTGGCGTCCCGATGCTAGGGCTGTAATTGCTGGCATGACTTTGGGCACTACTAAGGCCCATATATGCAGGGCGGTACTGGAAGGTGTAGCATTACAGGTGGTAGATGTTGTGAGGGTTATGGAACGAGAATTAGAACACCCATTATCGGAGTTCTATGCTGATGGTGGTATGACCAGTAATAATCTATTGATGCAAATGCAGGCAGACTTCTTACCTAAGGATATATACCCTGCTATGATGGCAGAGACTACTGCGTTTGGTGCTGCCTATGCTGCTGGTCTAGCTTTAGATTTATGGAAAGTACCATTGCAGGAATTGATAGTCAATCTAGGAGGCCATCGAAAGGTGGAGCCTCACCCAGCTGCATTAGAGCGGAAGAGGGCTATTATGAGAAGATGGAATGATGCCTTACAAAGATCTTTAGGTCTAGAGGAGTAAGATACCATACTAGTAGGGCTAATACTAATGAGTGTTGACCAGATACTGCCCTCTACCCGATGAATAACAACAACAGCAGACAATCTGCTAGAACCATCGGGATACGGTTACCCTAGGTGATTTTTTAGTTTCCAACTATAGCCCCATGATCAAGGCAATAATGTTATCGTAGTTCCCCTTCTTACTATTAGTTTTTTGATCGGATGGTGATCTTGTACTTGAATGATTTGACCATTTTCTACCGAAGTTCTGAGTTAACCTACTCTTGGTACGGTTTGTTCCCAGACTCTTTATACATTTTTGAAAGTTATCATATCCTATTGTATCTCGTCCCAGCACATGTCATCTGAGTATGTTCTTGCTATTAATGTTGGTACGACTTCGGCTAAGGCAGCTCTCTTCCCGAAAGATGCCAGGCTAGCTCACTCTAGACAGTATTTCTTCGAACAGAAATATCCTAATCCAGGATGGTGTGAACAGGATCCATATGCTATATTAGAATCAACAATTAAATCAGTTAACGAGGTGGCAGAATTGATAGTACCCTATGGTAGTATAACAGCAGTTGGTATAACTAATCAGCGTGAGACAGTTATAGCATGGGATAAGGTAACTGGTAAACCATTATATAACGCTATTGTATGGTTGGATCTGAGGACTTATGATACTGTAAAGGCTCTCACCATGGATGGTAGTAAAGATAGATTCCGTCATATTACTGGATTGCCCATCAGCACTTATTTTACTGCACTCAAGATAAGATGGTTATTGGATAATGTTGATGAAGTTAGTGATGCAGTAAAGGAAGGAAGATGCCTTTTTGGTACAGTCGATTCATGGCTTACATATAACCTAACTGGTGGACATAATAATGGTGGAATACATGTCACTGATGTTACCAATGCATCAAGGTGAGCTCGTCGTACAGCATGTCGTCATGTACATCAATTACCTGCGTGGTATCGTGATATTGTCAAGTCGTGGATTGCTGGTCCCCTTCAGGTATATGTTGATGGACCTTAAGACCTTGTCATGGTCGGAAGAGGTTTGTCATGAGCTCAATATACCACTTGAGACTCTTCCCAAGATTGTGCCAAGCTCTGGATACATTGGTATCATGTCCTCTCATCAACTACACTCCGCAGTGCGTGACGTACCTATTACTGCTATACTCGGTGATCAACAATCTGCATTGGTCGGTCATGGTTGCATACAGGAGGGTCAAGGGAAGATGACGCTTGGTAAGGGTTGTTTCATGTTGGTCAACACAGGCCAACAGATCGTACCAGCATCATTCGGTATACTCACAACGGTGGCATTTCAAAGAGAGGGTGGTGATGTCTACTATGCACTTGAAGGCTCGATTGCTAATACTGGGCGGGCAGTTCAATGGTTGTGTGATAAACTACAACTCATTGAGACACCTGATGAAATTGAGAAGTTGGCCCTCACAGTTCCCAATACCGGAGGGGTCACCTTCGTACCTGCCTTCACTGGTCTATTCGCACCGTATTGGCGTCCTGATGCACGGGCAGTTATTACTGGCATGACCTTGGGGACTACGAAAGCCCACATATGTCGGGCAGTGTTGGAAGCAGTGGCCCTTCAGGTGTTAGATGTGGTAGAAGCTATGGAAAAGCATATTGGTCGCCCATTGGAGATGTTCTATGTCGATGGTGGTATGACCAGGAACGCATTGTTCTTACAGATGCAGGCTGATGCACTATTGAAGGACATATACCCTGCTGAATTGATAGAGTTCACTTCTTTTGGGGTTGCTTATGCTGCTGGATTGGCGGTGCACTTCTGGGATAAGGTTCCTCTACAGAGTCTCATATCTAATCTTGGTGGCCATAGGAAGATAACACCACGCCCAGATGCATTGGCACAGAGAGGGACTGTCAGGCGGAGATGGAATGATGCATTACAACGTTCGTTGAACTTGGAAGAGTAAGCTCGGGAATTCTTTATCGATAGCACGGGAATGCATGCGGTAACTTGCAGCACTAGGCATCTCAACCCATAGGGTGTATATAATGAGGACTACTTAGGCGACTCAGGATGGTAATCGGCACTGGGACATCATTCCGGTGCAGATGTGTCGTACCGACCTTTCTCGAGACGATAATAGTCTCTCGTCATATATTCTGGGGAATGCAATCGAGATCCCCTGTGTAGTGTTGTCGCTGGTATTATCTTGGCGCTGTTTCGATGTGAGACTATTCTTTATCGTTTCGTTCAAATCAGGCACTGTCCTCTGCCCGAAGACGACAAAGCTCGCATTGTTTGATGAATGAATGCTCTCCGACGGGCTTACAACATGTGATTATTTTCATGCTAGACTTTTTTTTTATTTCCCGTGTCATTCCGCACCCGAGTTTGGATTTTCAAACTTGCTTATTGTTGTGTGTCTAAGTGGCTTCGAAGTGGTACAAGGAGGATATCCTCGGCGAGTGTCACCTTACCTTGAATATAACGTGTACACTCAGCAAGTAGAGCTACGAAAGAGACTCGAATCTCTTCCTGTCAAGGTAATGTCTCGTCCGTGGATGTTCGAAGGACCTTGCTCCCTCGGTCCCCTGCGTAGATGCAGTCGTGAGCGAATCAACTCTCTTAGTGAAGGTGATGTTGGTTCGTTACGTTTGTGAGGGTTTGTGACACCTACAACAACAGTACATCACTGACCATTATCTCGGGTACTCGTCGAGGTCCTTGAGTGGAGGGAGTTGCTCGAGGATTATCCTGGACGGGCAGTTTACCCGGCAGTTTGGATCATTAACTCACCGCACTTGAGAAGCTGGCCATGGAGATCATCATATCAAATGTTATCAGGTATCATCGCACCATGCGAAATGTTGATTACCTGGAAAAGCAGCTGCCAATCAGCTGGCGATTGTACCATTGTGAGGATTAACTGCTGATGGGATACTCGATTTAGTCGCAGACTGACCAGGAGAACCTTGTGCTCAGTGTTGTGTTTCAAATTACCACTGCTGCCTTGTCCGTTGGGCATCTGATGTTATGGATCGCTTCAACTGCATCATCGTATGGGAGGAACTGATTTCGATGATTATAGCCAGATCGGGAGAATATACACGTCTTCAACCACATGTGTTGGTGACCATATGAAAATTCTGAGGGATGTGACATTCCTGTATTCACATTGAAGATAGCCTCGCAGCCATATTCTACCTTCGACCACCCTCTCGGCTAGTCAGCTCCCTCTTACATCGACACTCCCACAGCGAGAGTTCCACTCCGCATCAGACCATTATCCGAATTGATTTCGAATACTCGCGTCAATACAAATCACTAAATGGAATGTCACTGGTGCGACTCACATGCTAGGGCAGAGTTGACCTTGTCAGCCAGGAGAAGGTAAAACAAACGAGTATGGAAGCCGAAGCCTCAAGTGCGGATATGGTTCGTTCCAGCACAGAACATGACGGCGTGCACTGTTAAAGCTTCCGTGAAGAAAATAACGAGGGTGCTTATCTCAACGCTCACTGTTCATCGGCTATCCACTCTTCACCATCAATGATGATTCATCATCATCACCTATCCCTCCGATTGTGGGCTCGCCCTCACGGGCTTAGTATACGTAGCAAATTACTCTGCAAGGTCGCCTTTCTCTACGACTTCGTGCGAGTGTAAGTAAGCCGTTGAAACGGCCAGGGACGACATGTATTGTAAGTTTCGATACATGTCGGACGGTTCTGTTGCCGAAGCTCGGGTTTCGTCGGGGAGGGACTGGTAGAGTGAGATGTGTACAGAATAAGTAAGTCGTTGCAGTGTCGCAGGGTAATTTCCGTGGTCAAAATATGTCCATTCTGTTGGAGAGGGAGCATGATTTCAAACGGTTGGGCAGAGAATTGAGCTGGAAGACCACGATAATGGACCGGTAAATCATTCATGTAAATGTTCTCTGTGTTCACTATCGCGTTGTACGCATGAAGGCTGCAAACTACCGGGAATACCCCGTACTATGAGAAGCTGTGTATTATATAGGTATCTGGTTAGAGGGACTGACTTCCTGGGGCAAGGATCGTTCTCAGTGGTCAGGAAAGCATTTGATAAACGGCTTAAGAGAGATGTTGCAATCAAAACCTACATAGACAACTCACCTAGTGTATATGGGAAGTTCAAGAGACAGGTATTGAACACACGTTATCATCATCAGCATCAGCTGCTACTACTACTGATGCTGTTGGTCGCCGCACTCGTCGAACAGATAGAGATACTCAAACATCTGCAAGAACCATTGCATAAGAATGAAGTACACCGGAAAGCAACAGAGAGCTTCAGAATAGCAGATATCCACAAGGAGCAGGGAGAATATCCAAACCAAGCCAAAGAGCTCCTCGCTCAAGCGAGGCTTGATCCACGGAAAGTCTTTGTAGGGAAGCAACCCATCGTCTTGCATGCCGTTATCATGTCGTCTCATCATCATTAGGTGAAGTTATTAGATTACAGTCAAGATTGTGATGGACATCCATCACCTGCTCGAGATGGACATTGTTATGTTGTATTGGAACTAGCCTCATATACGCTGGAGGATTACCTCAACGATAGACGGGAGGCTAGAGACCCGATGGAGATGTGGGAAGTCCATCATGTGGTGAGATATACGGTATACCATATACCATGTCCCTCACAGAGACAGCATGAGCATTCAATACGGCATACACTATTCAGATAAGATCACTCATCTCCATTACAGCTATCTTACACGCAAAGGGCCTCGTGCATTTGGACATCAAACCAGGGAATATCATGCGCGTGGAAGATGATTGGAAGCTTATCGATGTTGATGGAGCTGTAAGGGTCGAGACCAATATCCATCCAGGATTCATAAGACTATTATTTAGGTACCAGCGTCAACGACAATAGATCTGGACGACAATACAGTATCCTTCACGCCACTGTATTGTGCACCCGAATTCGCTAGGGTATTCCATGAGATCATCATTGGTCCATCGGTTATCAGTCTCTCAACAGGCTCTGGTCGATGGCAGTGAGGCACTGCGCATATCTCGTATGATGGACGTATGGTCAGTTGGTGTCACAGCATTGGACTTAATCCTAGCTAAACCTGCTCTTGAAGTAACTACCATGCTTTCTTATGAGGATCATGATTGTAACAGAGCAAATACGTGTCTCTTTACGACCGGACTGGGGATAGTGTCGCATTCTTCGATTGGCTCGCGAGTAACACTACACAAGTCCGAGTACCCATCCGTCTGAAGTGGGTCGATGAAGACCTTTATGATTTGATACAGAACAAGTACCTAATTCCCATTGCTATTTGTCTACGCCCAGTACAGGTTATTGGTAAAGCGAACGACCGAACGAGCATCAGTCTTGGAATGTCTTGAACATCCCTTTTGCATAAAACGATTCGAGATCCCTGCGTCTGATTCCGCAGCCAAGTCATATATCTTCGATCTTTTCGAGGGTAACCATACTCGACTAAGTCCACTGAGATCGATGGTGTTTAGGCCCTCCGGCCGCCAACCTCACTGTCTCAGAGGCCGCCAGTCAACGCTCACTCACTTCTCCCCTCTATGACTATAGCTCCGGGGTTATTCGGGATGGTGTGATATCAAATCATGATCGTGCTCAGCAACAACACGTGTCCAACGATGAGGAGTTGCATAGCGTAAGGCTAATTACATATTGCGTTTGCTCCCTATACATCCCTCTATATATAGGGTATGACGATTGAGACAGCAGTACCTCTATATGGTCCGAGAGGCAATCTTGAAAGACGCCGGTCAGCTATAACCCACATGAAGCCAGATGGGTCAGTAGAGCCCTTCCATAAGATTATGGAAGAAGAGACGATGAAACGAGGGAAGAGGGTTTCGGTGGCTCAAATCACGCAAATCAATAAAATTATCAAGTATCATTCGAGTGCAACAAACGACAAAGATGACGAGAATACTGACGTTAATCGTCTGAATGGCTGGGCCAATACCCAAGAAGACGCAGACATTGACAGGAAGTATCCCACCACCCATCAGCAGCCTCTTGGCTCTGTTCACACTAACCTACCCGGACAGACTCGAGGAGGGGATTCGGACAATGGGGGTGGGGAGAACAAGAAGAGCCCCAAGAACGACGGTGGCGAGGTGAGAATAGGGAGTGAGCTTTCATCCGCGGTTAACCTGTTCATAGGTGGTTAATACTTACAATGCTCTGGCAGTACCAGCAACTTGCCCACCTGAAGTACACGACACGACTAGCGAAGGTCTCATGGTTCCTCGACGAAGCATTGTTATCCAGAACCGTGAGAAAAATGGGTTATGCTCGCTTCACTTGCGAATTATCCGGCATAATGATAACAACAGGAATTCGATAATAGCGCTCTTATTCTTTGGGTTCTTCAACAGTTGAGATGATGTTACCCGAACCCTCATTGTTTCAGCTACCGCTCTGCTATCGCTGAAGCCGAAGAGGTAAGTCCTCACTGTTAGCCCCTCAGTGAGGGTATTTACATGGAAACTTTAGAGATAGGTGCTATCTTCAGCATTGTCTTAGGTCCATATCAGATCGATTTTGTAAAATCCAATAGCATCGTAAACTATGACAACTATAACACGAATTCAGCATGCTTCTTCCCATAACTCTATTTCCAGCATCATAGTCTACTGTTGATGGGTCATTAATACAATCAGATGTTCCATCTCACATGTGTTCACAAGAGAAGTCATGCCTTGCTCTAATCAGAGCTCCAAGTCTGACAGGTCTAGGAGGGTACTCCTCCCAGACCGACCGTTGCGGGTGGACAGGCGTCCAACGACTGGCCCTCGATAAAGATCACAAACGTACATGGTGTCGGGCGGAGAGCTCCTGTGGTGAAGGGTCTCGAATCAGCTATAAACAGGACCATGATGTATTCTGGGTATGACCTCACAAGAGTGCGAACAAGATTGTGAACATGTCTTCTTTGAATACCATCGACCTAATATGTTGTGAGTAGTTCAGGATGACTCTAATCGGGACTAGGGTGATCAATTCACGAGTCTATGGTAGCCTACTGGTTGCAGATAGCCGATTCAACGGGAGAACCAATCCTTGTAGCATCATCACTGGCCATCTTGTGCTGGAACTATGGATACAGACCATAGAGGATAAGGAGCATCTACCAAAACTGAGCCTTGCACATGCCTCCCTTCTCCATGCTACTGCAAGGAGAATGATCGACTCCACTGCTGGGACAATGACCGACAGCTGCACAGTTAAACTATCTATTATAACTTGAAGTTTAACGTTGATCTAGGTCCTCCGAGGTGGCCCTGCTTTCATGTGTTTCGCAGTCAACCCTTCTCGTGATTGGACCCTGGCATGTGTACAGTCATGTGTGCCCAGTTGGGGAATTGAAGAGCTCAGAGACTTGGCGAAATCACAGGTATTCAGCAGACGGCGATTTTCGATATCTCATCCTAATCTCAGGTCAGAACCATTGAAGAAGTTATCGACATGCAGCAGCCGGTGAGTTCCTATCTATCATTCTTCTCCCCCAAACGGCATCATTGGTTCCCCGTCAGGAGCATTCCACAGCGATCAAGCGAGTCGCGGAGGCGATCATGCAAGACTGGGCATTCGCAGTTTCGAGGGAGTATAACGATATGGAAGCCAGACAGAATCATGGAGAATCCGGAGTTCGTCAAGATAGCCTTCTTCCCAAGAGGTTCAAGCTACGCACGGATCGATTCAGGAGGACCTAATCCATTTTAGAGGACCCCTCAAATCCTCCGAAGAGGACCTTGAGTGTCTGAAGGCTGCGTTTAGAGCAGATATACTGTACATGAGCCATTCGATGTGAAAATCATGGGCACATTCTGTATAGATGCATAATTGGCAGAGAACTCAGCACCGGAGGAAGATCACGCGCCAGAGTTCTCATATCAACCACCTCATGGCATGATCAACTGTGCGCAGGCTCGTCGAAAGCTGTGATTACCATCGAGCTCCCCTTGCATCAGGTCCACCGCCCAGAAGTGGTTCATCCTTGCCACAGCTGAACACGTTGCCTCCACAGCATCACGGAACGGGATGAGTGACGAGGATGTTGTATCAGAACGATTCGAAGTCGAGCTTCCACGTAGGTTGGACACGTGGTACCTACTCAACAACCATATCAGGCCATACCGTCAATGAGGCTGTATCCTCTTTGAGAGCTATTGAGATATTCCCATCAACATATCCTCGGTACATACGGAAGCTGATTCTGTGCCTCATCTCAGGCATGCTGCTATCCACCCAAAAGCTCTCATGTCTCGAATATTGTCAGGTTCGGACCGGGAAATGAATGGTTCTGAAGCGCTAAGTTCATTGATCGAGAACACCGCGCTGATAGAACGTATGATCATGCTCTCATGACGATGATGTGCTGGAACCTATTCCCATGCGTGATGATTAAGGGTACAGATATGTAACCACCAAGTGTCCAAATCCCGTATTCAACGACACGGTGCGTTGTTCTCTACAGTAGCCGCAGCAGTTGCGTTGTTTTTGTAACTCCATTAATGAATCGATAATAACGCGCCACTACGAATATCATCGCCATCCCAGTTCTTGAGACCGTAATCGTATGATACTTGATATCATGACGGGTTTGAGATACAGCATGTTCACTCCCTTGCAGTTCAACGAGAAACAACGCCATTAAGAAAACTGATTTTCGCTGCATGCCCTCATTTCGTCTTCTTAGTATCTCCTCATGCCTCACGCGAACTGGCGACATCAACGATGTCTCCTTATCATAACTGAGCATATACTAGTGCGTGCCTCCGAAAACAATGGTTGATGATAATACTAAATCATCAAAAAGACGGCAACGATGAGGCCAAGCGCCGCAACGAATACCTGAGAAATGAGTATTCCGGTGATGGTACTGATGCGTAGTAGGGATGTGCGCAGAAGAGGAATCTAGGGTAGTTGATGGGCTTCTAGTTCCTTAAAAGTGTTACTCTCTGTATGCAGAGGATTCAAACCCAGTCTGTATGCATCGTGTTAGGATAGGGGCTGACCTTACTGATGGGATAAGCCCAGCTAACGATGAAAATGATGATGTGATGGCAACAAAGGTTCCGCTAACCTCCTACTCCCTCAGGCCTTACGTGGACTCATGCGGCATATAGCCATAACTACAACGCAAGTGATGGACGAGATGTTGGAACGTGTACAGTGAGCAGAGCACTGCCACGGATAGCAGTTGTTGGACGATGTAAATGGAGCAATGATAATAAGGTGTAAAGGAATGGCAGTGAGATGAGCACAGAGACAACACTACAAAAGTATGACGAATATGAAAAACTGGACGAGTAGTATACACCTAATGAACATAGCAGGAGTAGTAGCAAAGTGTGGTTAGTACAGCTAACTTAGCAGTCTTCGAGAAGGATAGAAATCCGGCAGAGGATGACGATATAGATGTACTCAATAGATAATCCCCAACATACACCATCATCAACAACCACGACGTCGTCGTCGGGAAATGAACTCAGTTACCCCTTTAAGAGTAGTAGTAACCGTAATAACCTCGGTTCTATGATAACGATCAGATCTATTCCTGCCTGTAGCGGTATTACTATTAGTGTTACGATTAGATCGGGGTATTGTATACCTGCAAGCGGGGACAACTACAACATATCCCTCCAAACTAGTTTATTACCTGGATCCTCTTGAATCCATGAGAGGCTGCTCAACGGCATCAGCAGCAACCATTTGATCATGATAATGATGCTCTCGAAATAGCGCACCATCTTGACGAGGGTAAATAGTATCATCATCATCGTCATCATCGTCACACAATGCTGCCCATGATTGGTTCCCGCTGGTCGAGACCACCTTGGTGGTAGTAGGCATTTCCTCATCTATTCGTGGTAGAGGTAGCTTATAATCGATATATGCTTCTCGTGACCTAATGAGTGATAAGAGCGCATGAGGTGCATGATGAATAGCATTACCTCCTATGTCGTTCAAAAGCACGTTGGACAAGATGCCGATTGAGAGCTAGACGGGTGGTATTACAACTGGTATTCCACGAGGAATGAGGATTAATACAAGAAGATGATGAACGAGTGTGGTGATGAGCACCACGAGTAGCAGCAGCAACCATATAGATAACAACAATGAAACCTCGACATTAGCAGTGGTAACGGTGCCGCAACGCAACACCATCATAATTAACAGCAGTATAAGGTCAGGCACTCGTAATGGTAGTAGTAGTAGGAGTAAGGGTAGTAAAGTGCATCATTGCATACCAGCATACAAAGGGGTTGGGACAGAAATTATCCACACTAACTCATCCATTTTAGGGAGAAGGACGCGGTGCGGAAAACGACGAAATTGTCAAAAGCCATGGTATGCCATCGACAGTTTACAAAACCTTGTAATGAGAGTAGTAGTTCCAGCAGTGGTAAGCTGCCAGTAGGAGCAACACTAGCGTTGAGCAGTGGAAGGCAAGAGAGGTCTTCTTCGAGTAGTGGTGACCTTGATGGTTATATTCTTCTCTGCTCCTACTACTACTACTAATACTTTACTATATCTTGTCGTATTGATCTGCAGTGTGCTACATAACTATTCCATTCACGTGTCCGACAGGAGACCTCGGCAACAGTCATTGGAGATAACAAAAAATGATTTTGTTCCCGAGTTGCCGATGGCCGTCTCCTACTATCAGACGTTGATGATGAGGAAGAGTAGGAAGAGGGTGAAGGTATCCTAAAGAGAGAGCATTGATTTGATTGTATTGTTAGAGACATTACCTGCTAGTACGAGACCCAACAACACAGGAGGAGGTCTTGGCCTCAACTCGGGTATTATCAGTACACGTCTCCTCAGTGATAGATGGTAATGTACCACGATAAGATCCATACCACTTCTTTGTCCTAACACGAGTAATACTAATTACATATTAATAATGCCTACCTATTGTAGGATGCAAAAGCCTTGTATGTATGATCATCCACCCATCCACAGCATCCTAGTATACTACTAGTATTAGAACTAGTCATAGGGGGTATTGGGGGTAGTAACGATAGTAGCATGCTATCACTCATTAGTTCCACCATATATTAAATATACAAAAGTTAGAATCTACTGCAACATAAACTGCCCAAAAGTGTGTTCAGTCGACCTCTCCCGTATCACAAGATGCACTCTCAGAGATGGGTTTAAGATTTATATCCCTAAGCCACAAGGCAGTAGTTGAACGACCAAAACGATTTTGCGCGAGACACAAACGTTTCCGCGCCGTCTCTCATCGAACGTTTTTACGCACTTGTATAATCGTTGGAGCACCGCCTTCGATGAGTTGAGTAAGTTTCACAACGAGACTCTTAGAGCATATCGTAGGATGAGTCAATAATAGTTCTTTACAGCATGCCATTCTTTTCTGCTGATAAGCTCCGTAGTATAGGAGCTGCGGAGGACACGAGTACTAGAAGGGATAGGGGTGTTGGTGGGTCTGCTATTGATGATATTCAGGTTCCTGGTGACGTGTATTAATATCCTACCCAGTACCACACATGTTGATACCATTTGTGTACGTGTTCATGTTACCAGCAGTTTCCCTCTTTACATCCTATACGAGTCAAGTGGTCGTCAATCATAATAGTCCACTCTCTCTATCAGAGGATGGTGGTAGGGGCAACGTTAGTGAGGCCCGCTGTATCGGACGCTGTATCCTCAATCGAGAGTAGCACTCTAGTGTCTAGTTACCACTTCCTGTCACTCATCGGCTCCACACTCTTATGGAATCCTCGGTGAACAACAAGGCACCTCCTGGACTAGCCGAGACACTAACGTCCATTCAGTGGTACTGAGGAATAACGACTTGATGATCAATGGAAGGCTGATGGTATGATACAGTTCGCTGCTGCTACTTCTGCGCTGGCTCGAGACCACTCTAGCTACCTTGCGCCAGTCTCGGACAACGACATGGAGACATAATGGTAGTGTAGTTATCATAATCCCTTCCATGAAGTGTAAGTCGTGCAGACCTCTCGATGGTATCGAGAAGTCTGATTAGCTCTATAAGCTAATGCATTGCCGATTGGGATGAGCGATACACTCTTCACCGGGAACGTCTTCACGGTTACTGACAAGCTGCTCTCCACTCGGCTCTGTTGCGAGTGATCATGAGATGTCCTCGTGAAATGGTCACATGTCCGATAGCAGGATCTGCAGGATAATCGTTTTGGTAGTGAGTGAGGAGAGGAACTCGTACGAGTTGGCTCTAGGGGCCACCATCAAGGTCGATAATCGATCCGCCCTAATGATGTATGCACATGCTATGCCTTGTGTATGCATCTACGCTAATAATACGACTCATGGGAAACTTAGTCGGTCGTGAGTCCAACCTGCATATTTTTCGAGGATCACGTGGTTGCCGCTAAGAGCTCCCTCCCGAGTGCATTTCCCATTCGTTATTCAAATGATGCGTCCACCATCATCATCCCCAACACAACAACTCTCCTACGATCCAGCTGCTATAGCGAAGCAGTTGAAGAGAACACGACAAGTGCTTATGGTTGCCAGGAAGCAGGCAAGATTGGATCACAGCCGAGTCGCGAGCGGCAGTAGCCCTCCTTTTAGGCCGATGAGGCATTAGCTGGCCGAGACGAGGCTTTAGAAGAGGTTCGCAGGCTCAAGCATGAAATGGCAACTTTAAAGGGAGGAGTTGAGGATGAGGTGATGGCTGCATTGCATGTCGTAGAGAATACTCATAAGCCGTTCTCCCCACTCAGAATGCTAGTTGTACTCTTCCGCTACCATCCTCAACTGTTCGGCACCCAGGTACATAATCTAAGAGCAGACCTTTCCATCATCTCCTCCGAGCGTGACGTCATGAAACAGAGTCTCACCGAAGTCCACTCGGTGGCTGGTATAATAACTGAACAACTGCAGGAAACAATGAACGCTCAGTTCTACGAGTTCTTCAAATGGCTTTGGATGTGTACTGCACCCGATCTCGGTTTGGCTGCTACGGGGTGTGCAGCTCATTCGAAGAAGAGTGATCTCATAGACGGGTGAGTCTTCCATCATCGAATTAATATGTTAATGCGGATAGCGAAACTTCCCGATGCTAGGCTCGTCAAAGCTGTCGTAGAAGCACAAGCCGACAAATCAAATCTCCGCCGAGAGTGTCAAGACAACACCGAACTTAGAGCAGAATTAGATGCAGCTCGAACGAGAGTGGAGGCCATGAAGAGATCCGAGTCCGATAAGCAGGTGAGCTCAGCATGTTAGCCTCCATCATTCTGTTCATCACACACTCTTTGGAGGCACAAATTACACTGAAAACGGAAGCTTTGAGGAAGGCTGAGTCCAATTATCAACAGGCTAAGGAGGGTCTAGAGAGTGCGGAAAGGCGGGGTGTGTGGCTAACTGGCCAGGTACTCTTTATCCAATATATGCCCATCCACGTTACTGGCGGGCTATCATATCATCTTTCAGGTTCGGGAGATACAGAGTTTGGTCAACGAGAAAGATGCTTTGGTCCAGAAACTACAGCAAGAGATCGCTCATGTGTGCACATCAAAGAACGACCTTCTCCATCATGATACAACCGAAGAATCTGTCCTGTCCCAGTATCTACCCCAAAAGCTGAACCCGTCTGTGATTAACAGAGCCTGTACACCGGAAGTCGACAATGCTTCTCCAGCCATGGATACCTCTCCCCCGTCAACAGTCTCAAAAAAGGGGAGTGCCTCTAGACGAGTCCAGATTCCAGACTGGGAGGTCCGGAAGTCATCAATAAATAAACACGATTGCTCTGATGTCAACTTACGTTCTCTGCAAATCACAGCGAGTATCGAATGACTTTGTGGAACTTGAGCGCAGTTGGTTGGGTGATCCGGAAACAGGTTCCGAGGTAGGGAGGTAACCAAAACTTGATCCTGCTTCGCCAGATTTAGAGTCTGGAGTGCTAACTGCTAGACCATGGAACCTTCTAAACATGTGTTATATCATACAGTTATGATCCTATTACACTAGGTTCAGGAAAGGACATGATGGCCTCCTATCTCGCATGCCCTCCTTTCGCTATTATTTTACGGAGTTGTATACGATGTCAAGTATACTGACTACCTGTTCTTGTTCAGATGGCTGACCTTACCCTCCTCGCTGAGTATTCCACTCCCTGTAATGTTACCATCAACGATGCTTAATATATTCCCATTGGGTGCTGTAGCCATAGGTTGTCTTGTATTGTATCTACAACTTATAGGGGTCATCGACGTGATGCATTGTGGTTATGAAGCGGAGTAGATGACCGATCAAAACTTCTTCTTTACTGCTCAGGAAAAGCGTAGATTCTCCGCGATCGAGACTGTGCCAGAGAGTTGTCTTTTTACGAAGCCTGGTTTGGGACAGCGATCGGCACAATCGCTACCGGCACAAGGGACAGCCTGAGTCCTTCAAGCTGCCAAGCTAGTGACACGAGTCAGATTGCCTTGACAACATGGAGAAGTATGTGTTCAGCGTATCATTTTTCTTACCCGAGGTCTCCGATGTATGTCGTAGGAGCACTCCAGATAGCAAGCGTCGACAGAAGCTTACTATCCTGAGTGTCCTTAGTGTTCCTTGCCTGTTATCCTCCGCAGTGTCCAGATGGCACTCGTGAGTTGACATGCGCCCTGTGATACCTCGGCGGCTAGGGGTTTCACATTCACGACCACAATGGGTTGGGTACTGTCAGCGCAGGATCGGAGGCGCGCGCTGAGTTTTAAGGCGCATGTAGGTAGATCGTAATGTCTCGTATACCGGTTATGTTGGGTGGGGGGGGCAGCTGTTGATCCTGCTCGTCATCACGGTAGTAGGTTCTTATCTGCTCGTCATCACGGTAGTAGGTTCTTTTATGCTTGAGGGGGTATATGTTACTAGGCCCGTAATGCTTAGTAATACACATACATGAGGTGTTTTAGTGACATTTTGATGCATTGATTCCCAATAGAGACATTAGACATTGTTGGAGATAGATCCAATGTCCCAGTAGACATTTTATGCTCATAAGGGCCGTTGTCCATATAGTGGATTCACAGTTGTCAACGTGATTATAACAATGCGACAGAGCGGATTCTTTCAACTGCAAACGCCTGTCCCTTTACTGCCATACAACGACAACGATAAACTGTTGAAGGAATATGAGGTAGTAGTGCTGGGAAGCTGTGTGTGATTGTACTAATCGTATCATCTTCAAGATGTCCACGCTGCATGATGTGTGTAGGTCCACAATACTTTCGTGGATTTCCGAGGTCCCAGACCACTCTCCAACCAACATTCGACGGCTCCAGCAGCTGTATTCCGTACAACGAGGATGTTTAGTTCACCACTAATACCGTCTCCCCCTCCAATCATAGGCCCCCCACCATCACCCAATAGGGCCATAACTCAGGTAGTGGGTGGAGGTAGTAGTCCTAAACCAAGGTTACTACAACGTTGTTGTAGTCACCATTCAACTGGGCTGATGAGGTGCCCGGAGAATCAACTGCATCCTTTGGTAGTATCCCGAGTATAGACCCTGTACACATGGTATATCTTTATCAGCAATGCCACCAACCCCGCCAAGTGCCGCAACAGCACCTACGGTTGCTATGGGTGATTGGTCACCATTCGTCGTCTCTAGATCACGATGGACTCCACCCAAGAGGTAGTAGTTATCCCCCTCTCTTCATTCCCGTTATTCCCTGTTGTCCTAGAGACCTACCCGAATCAACTCCTGAACTGCGGTATGCGGTACCTTCAGCATCATCATGGGTCACGACACAGTATAAGAGACAGAAGCCTCCACCACCGGAACTTCGTGATATCTCCCCGGGGCCGCCGCCTGTACGAGCCTCGTGTATGGTAGTATCATCACCAACAGTGTTTAATGCAACTACAAGCTGCTCGCCTATTGGGCCACCAGCCGTTATCGATTGGAGTGTCGAATCGATATATTCTCCAGCATCTTTGAAGTGGGATGATGGAGACATGAATGGGGTCCGGGGACGACATTCGTATGATTCAATGATCGATGCATAGTCGTCGAGGCATCATTATCATAGGTTTTATCCACCGCGTAGACGTCTGTTCCAGCAGATCGGCCCTGCTACAGGGACAATACTGGTGATAACAATGTGATGATACTTATCTTATATACTAACAATCAGGAAGACGTATCACCATCGGTATGCAGCCCTGTATGGAATGGTGATGGTGTGAGGTGTGCTGGTATACCACCATATAGCCCTTCGGCAATATCTGCCAACACCACCTCACCCGCTTCTATGCCGGTTTACCATCCTTCTACCAATACTGAACAAGATGACTATCTTCGTATAATCATCTCTCTCTGTCATCATCATCATCATTATCATACGTATCTCAGGCTACTCGGCCTGGACCGTCATATGGATAGATGAAGTAGCATTCAAGAGTGATTCTAAGGTTAAGAAGGATTCATTAGCAGAGAAATTCAAGGTGGCTCTTTGTATAATCATGTGGTCACATATAATACCAACAGATAACGGTGAAGGCATATAAGTCCTCAGAGAAATGCATTCGTGCATTCGAGAAGCGTTGTAACAAGAGGCCACCAGCCCGTGGTCAGAAGCAGATGGTAATAGCAGCCTCTCGCAGCAAGCTGGGGATAACATCTTAATATGGTGCCCTGCAGATTGTAGTAAGTGAGAGTAATGCCATGGAGCTCTTAGACTATCTTCATAAGGGCAGGGAGTGGCTTGCGCCGAAGCTTTTCATATTGGGGGTAGTAGTAGTGGTAGTAGTAGTAGTAGTAGTAGTAGTAGTAGTAGTAGTAGTAGTAGTAGTAGTAGTGGTAGAGATACGTATGTGGGCAGCATTTAAAACTTGTCCCCTTGTAGCCCACCAGCAGCCAATTGAGGAGGAAGAGTAGGTTGATTACGGCAACCGTACGGAACTGGGGCCAGCTCATAGGTCTTATCGGCCGAACATTGCGAGAGGCTTCGTAATAGTAGTGGGCTGCTTTAAATTAATGCATGCGTACGCCTTAAGATGTCGACGCCTGCTTGTGCTATCGTCACCATTACTTTCATCATTAAGTCATCACCGTTCTGCTGTCTGGGTGCATGCTAATATCGTCGGTAATGGCCCCTAGTAACTTCTGATCCAGTCAACTTCTATCTCACTACATGATATTTTTTATCATCCCCATGGCCTTGAGTTGAGGTGTGGGTGGGTAGTGCTAGTGTAGTTGGTCTTTTCTTCATCAATGGTTCCGGCTAGTGGGGATTCATTTCCCTCTACGTAGCCTGTAGAGGCATAGTGCAGCACGACGGCCTCATCATCAATCACACACTTCGAATATTGGTCCCTGTGTGCGATGGAACTAAGAACCCTGCCAAGTGTGTGTATAATGAGGTACATAATATACCCACTGTGTTGAAGCTAGAGAAGAGTAAGAGGTTCTGGTCCCATCGGTCGGCTGTCTTCCGTCAAAGGGCTACCAAGCACTATCCGACGAGGATACCTATCTTGACGACTAAATTGACCAGCAACTCGGACTTATCGGTTTGACGGTTCTCAACCAGCGTGGTGGGAGGCGATCCTGAGTCTCTGATATCTGCTATACAGAATGATATCTGTGAGACCTTTCTCATGAACTCCACTGCTGCCGAGAGCTCTAGGGTGCTGCCGGTCACACTTGGGGCAGTAATCAACACACTATTCAAGCATTATAAGAGGTATCTAAAGGTGCAGTTGAAGATTGTTCTCACTAGCATCCATCTCAAGACGGTGTCGTATTAGTCATAGTCAGGGGTATTGCAGTCTTTACTGAGCACGCGTCTAAGGAGTTATCTAAAAGAGGCAATCTACGCGCTCTTACTCGTACAAATACGCAGCCTCTGTATGTGGATGATACTGCAAAGCGAGGGTCCAAGTCAGAGCTGAGGAAAGAGCAGGAGGGTCGCATGGCCGTAGCTGTTCCGGCATCCAACTCGAGCCTTTCCATAGGGTAGCGTAGAAAAAGGATCCGCCTCTCGTAATTTCGCGACGTGTAACAGTTGACGGCAAGGTATCATTCGGAAGCTATCTTCGAGCTATCGCAACGCTGTAGGAACATTTTCCCAGATGGTAGTGAGGTTCTGCTGTTTGATGCGTTATTCCGTTAAGCTTTGGAGCTACTCACACCCATACCCCTCAGAATAATAACTCAACGACTTCGAACGATGTGGTGAAACGATTTACCGATTTAGGCAACAATGATTAAGTCGAATCTAAACGTTCGGTTGTTGATGCTTCTCTCGCTCCTGCATACACCGACTGTACACATCCCGTATTGGCTCACAACGTGTGGCCTCCTTTGGAGGGAAACTGTAGGAAGCACCGCTACGGACGTGATTCCGTATCGAATTTACCTTTTCAAACACTTCAAATATTCGTCAAGTTCTAGTTCGCATGGTAGTGGCTGAGTGGTTGGATGAGACGTATCCAATCCCTGCTGGGGGGTGATGGACGCTCTCTGTCCCATTAGAGGACAACTCTGGAATACCAACTGTATTCTCACTGACAACACCACAATGACAACCACCTTCGCACTGAAACAATCTTGAAACAAATGGTTGGGTCCGTCCAGCAGGCGAACATGCACTCCTTTATGCCTTATTCTCGGCAGGGGCATCTTTCAAAGAGTCGAATTCTTTGATAATCTTATCCTTTATATTGACATCATCCACTGTCGTCTTATTATCATCAGCTTGATCCTCCTCATCAACACCGGCTTCATCAGTAGAGTCCTCATCGTCGAATTCGGACAAGTCAGTGATGGGATCTGTAGCATCGTTATCGAAGCCGCCAAACATATCATTCCTTGGCTGAGGCTTGGTAGTCTACATATGGGGTACTCCTATAGAATCAAGTACAGGGATGCTTACGATATCTCTCATCATCTCGTTAGCATCGAGGACGACTTCACCACCAGCTAGGTAATCATTGATATACCAGGACCTGGGAGCATTACAACAATACGGCATTGATGGCAATACTCACGTTAATTGAACTGCGTCGAGAGGGAATCTGTCATTGACAACGTCAACAGCATCTGTGAACTCCTTGGGAAGGAGCTTATAGTCTACTGTACTGTAAAACTGTGGTCTACGATAATCTGGAAGTACACTAAGTGAAAGGCTGGAGGATGGTACTTTACCATGATCATTGAGCCAATTCAATAGATGGTCATAAGAAGCATGTGTAATGGTTTGCCATCCCAAACTTCGTGATGTGAAGCGGCTGAAACTCTTGGCTGGGTCCACAATGGGTGCTCCCTCCAGTGAGACATAGTGAAGCACTGTTTTAGTGTCCTACGGAGGACGTATTCGATCATCATCCTACCACAACAAAACACCTAAGGTACCTCATCATCAGTAGTGGCTAGCTCCTTCATGGTAGCATCAAAGATAGAGGTCTTGACTAGAGAATCATAGGGCTCAGGCGAGGCTAGCAGTAGATGTCGCACTCTCGTCTGAAAAGAGTGCTATCTTGTATAAAGAGCTGCCTGTTGACGATACTTACTTCATCTTTAACTGTCGTACGTTGAATGATACTCGACTCTTCGTTTGCTACGCTTCTTATCACATCCAATGTCTCATCCAACACTTCCATCAATTTCTTCTGACCCGAGGGCTCCAAAAAGGTGAGAGCGTCCTCAGCCAGAAGTGGCAATTCGTACCTGAGGAAGGGAGCATTGCAGATAAGCACGTACTAGAGAAGCAACTTACTTGCTAGCAGTATCCCCCCGATTTAAGAGTCTTCCTAAGCGCATCCAAGCAGGGCCTTGTGACCATCGGCCCAATGCCTGCACCTTGGTCGTTGGCGATGTAACGTCATCATCCGGAGAGAAGAGGCGTGACCGTGGACATGTAGGCGCACAGCAGATACTGAAGTAAACACCTGGGTCATAGTTCGACATGCCGCGTATACTACACAGAGGCATCCTGTACACCATCCGGTGTGACCTCTTTGGTTACTATATCAACACCACGGCCCGCCAGAAGGACTCGAGGTAACTCAGCTACCTCATTAGGGCAGTATAAGGTAACAGGGGAGTACCCTAAGGCTACTGCCATAGCACTGAGAAAGAGGCATACAAATTTCGAGGAGAGGGCAGGGGCTAACCTGTCAGTAACAGCCTTCATAAGGTTGTCCACTACCAAGTCAGTGATGATAGCGGCAGCCTTACCGTTACCAGGAGTGTAACGACCAAGTCTTCCGTTGCCTAGTATTGATGATTGAGAAGGAAGTACACTCATTACTCCACCTCCCATTACCTTCAGTGGGACTTGGGGTTTCCAATGAAGCTATTGCGGCATCTATCTCACATAACTTGCCTACTATAGATGCAGCTGCCGAGTCATACAGTATTGGCTGAGACGATATCAAATCCAGGAGGAAGGGTAACACGTAGGATTACTTGAACGACTTTAAGAGCTTGAATCAAGCCAGCCCGATTGAGTGGAACTGAGTCCTGCAAGTCCCCTATCCTAGCTCCCTCTACGACCTTCTCAACTGCCAGAGGGTCAGCATCGCCAGTCTGAGAGCATACCTATAATCCATAGTAGGCAAGCAGTATTACATCCTGGTTCTCCTTTGCTGTTATATCATTGGTTAAACCTCTAACGGCAGCTTCGACGTCACTACTTGTTTGCTGCCTGACTGTAGCGAAGGCTCTCAAAGCAGTGGATAATGATACTATACTAGTCCTTAAGACAGGACTTGATGAAGGGAGTAGTCCCTTTAAACTGCACAGTGAAATGGACATGTTAAAAATGAACTACGTTCTTGTCGTCACTCAGCTGCCGACTTAAAGTCAAACAATCCAACGAAGCCAACCGCGAATGCCCTACTAGCGATGTGAATGTTGGATACTTCTGCAACACAAACATGTGTGAGTGGTGGAAATCCTGTAACAATGCTTTGCACCATTCTTAATGTCACTACTGCTTCTGGCTGGCCTTCGACTTCCCTCCTTTGCTCTCCTTCTTCTCTAGTTCATCCAAATACTTATGATGGCATAAAGTGAAGAGTGTGATGAGGATACCAAACAGGATTATATGGGTTAGGTTGTATTCGAAACGGTTGTGCTAAGAAGACACTGAGCATCTACGATCCTCCACATACTACTACTACCTTGAAGGGTAGAGAGTTCTGTAAGAAGTTGCCGAAGACTCCAGTTCGAGCTCTCTCTGTAACCACTACGAACTTGTAGAAGAGGCTTAACACGTATCTAGAACAGAATGATGGATCATCGTAGCCCCTTCGTCGTGATGATGGTAATACAGTGATAGTCCCGATAAACACACGACAAAGGCTCCGGTAACAAGGGCATCCAATAGACGACTGATGCTAACGATGGCAGTCATGATCAATGGAGAGTGTGATTAAAAACCTGACCATATCCACTCATTCTTCCGGAGCAATTTTACCGCGCGCCACGAAATTATTCCAAATCTTGAGCGGCTAGAGTAGGTCGTTATACAAGTGATTGCGCTGTAACCTGCCTCTCTCAGCCCCATTTTACACACTATGGCCTCGAGCGATGGTGGATTCGACTTTGATGCAGTATTGGTAATAAAGACCTTTGTTAGATAGCGATACGGTTGAATCCAATATAATTTCAGAGAGCTGATAACCCTACTGGTGGGGGAGAGGCTGGTGATAACAATACGGCAGGGATGTTTGCTGGAGGTATTGCCGATCTTGAAAGCCAAGTGGCTGTTACCTATCTATGTGGGGAATGTGGCGCGTAATACAAGGAGGCTAGCATGAGGCTAGCATGGAATAAATGCAGGTACGTCGATATCAAACCACATGATGCGGTCAGATGCCGTGAATGTGGACATCGTATATTGTACAAGCTCAGACAGAAGCAAAGGCCTTGTGTCTATGAGGCACGGTAGCCTCTTGTTTCCTACAACCTGTTGCACTATTCACACGTTACTTTATTGATAATGGCATTGTGTTGGGATGGCGGTATGAAGTACCTTCTTTGAGACACGCCCGTTGTTTGCATTCCCATGGAGGAAGAGGAGATGCTTACGAACTCTAAACTAGAGGACGTCTTGAAGGTTGACTCGCTTGTGGAAGTAGCCAAGATCCATTCGGGTCTACGTAGAGTTGATGCTACTGAAGCTGACCTTGTCCGTACTCTGGGTATCACAGCAGAAGTAGCTGAGCAATGCATGGACTCTCTCACTAGGGACAGGAAGGGCTCGAGAACGGGGAGGGTAGCTAGTGATGAGCTCATTGCTGGCTTGGCATGGTATTGTGGTAATGCGAAGGTAAGCGAGAGGTTAACCTTCTTGGAGGAAGCCAACATTCCCCCTGTTGCTGTGGTCATTGGAGTTGCTCGAGTTGGCGGGTTTTCATACATACCCACTTATAACGGACTAACCTCCTCTGCCACTCCTACAGATGCTGCCTACGCAGCTAGGGTGAGGGTTGGTCTCAAGGCCTTGGGGGTAGACATTGCCCAGGAGGATGAGGACAATAGCGCAAATGATAGTGATCCGCCGGAGTGGATGAATACACTACGGGAGGGGCCAGGGGCTCGTAGGGCCTACATACCTCGTCAGCCTCTGAGGGAGGTCACTGCATTAAGCCCTCTGGCGAATCGAAGGTTCAAGTTGGAGGGTATCGGAGATCATACCTCCTCTTGCGATGGACCCAACATGACCACGGACCAGGTGGAAGAGCTACAATACGTCTTCCTACTGTTGGACACTGACAATACCGGCTACATCAAGGTAGATGATCTCATTGATATACTAGGAAAAATTGGGAGGGGCGTCAACACTGAGATCTTATCCCGGGCCTATGAAAGCTCTCATTCTGCAGAGGAACGTCTGATCACATTGAGTGATATTCTAAGGATACTCTCACCGAATTGTTCACACCCTGTGATTGAGGGGATCATACATGAGCATGGTGGAGTAGGGGAGGAGGCGGCAGTGTTGGTTACCTATGGCCAATCTAGGAGTTCCTCCTCCACCTCGGGTCGGAAGTCAACACCACAGCGACCTGGCACAGATAGTGGAGGAACAGGTGAGTCTGTAACTAGTAGAGTCGGGACTGTACACCAGAGTCCACGAGACAATGCACAGCAAGAGGCAGTGGAGGCAGTAGAGATATCTTTGGAGAGGCTCATGGAGCTGAGGAGGTTATTCGATTGTATGATAGATTACGAAGGGAAGGGGGTTGTAGATCTTAGACGATTGAGGGAATACTTCTCGACCGCTCTCAATGACCCTGATGATCTAGATAGAGTACTCATAGGGCAGAAGGGTGAGAGGGTCCTTGAGGAGGATGCAAGTGATGTACTCTACACTAGAGATGACTTCATCCGCATGATACTACCAGAAGGGCTGGTCCCCTGTGCCTATCCTACCCCTAGATCTGTACGTGCATCTAGCAATGAGCTATGGAGATCTCGACATGCACGCAGGCTCGAGTCGGCCTCAAATGTGCCTACCTCACTGAAAGCCTCCAACGATGAACAGCAACAGGATAGCCCACAAGTGAGTGAACCTCTACTCCATTCAGGTTGGCCACTTCTCGCCTTCGTTGCAGGTGGGTGAGGCACGCTCTATGCCCTTCGGGGATACTGAAGGCTTTTCGCCCGGGGAGTCGGACCTTCCTCCAGTACCACTCTTATCACTCTCCTCTACCTCCCCATCACGTTCTGGTAGTGTCACCTTCCTTCCCGATAGTGCATCGTCGATGATCAGTGATAATCTCATGCCCTTCTGCCGTAAGCTTGTCCCTTAGTGCCGAACCTGCACTATTCCATATTCTCGCTGAGTTCAGGGTCGTCTCATTCTGTAGTGTCCCCCTCCCATCACTATATGCCTTCTTCCTCTTCGTTCCCTCTCCTTTGATGGGCTGCTATTGTCCTTCCATGGCTGCCCGTTACGCTCCTCCTAGTATTGTTGAGGAGGATGTATCCTCTAGTGGGGCCAGCTTTCAAGGCCCACTGAGGCCCATCATTGTAGTGTCACCGATATCGAGGAAGGCCAAGCCTCTAACACACCTCAAGAGTCTAACCCTCCTTCCACCTACTGCTGCTACCTCTCCATACGGTAAGACGATAAGGACCGCTATATGGCAATGGAGAAGGAATAGGTATGGTAGGAGTCGATAGCAACAGTGTACAAAGGACAACTTTTCAGGAACGGCGAGTGGCGGCTTTTCCCTTGGGATGTCGAGAGGGAACTCGAGGCCTCTTACCAGGCCTTTATAGGCTTTGCCACACAAGATTTGAGCCAAGTTGACTTCGCCAACTTTCGTGTCACCATCGGGAGTAATCATTACCGCGTCAACTTTATCGATATGATGCAGTATAACTCCTTTACGGGAGTGGGTCGGCCCGTCAGGAGGATGGCCCCAGTAGAAGTGAATGTGGATCCCACCAGACGACTTCCTCAAGGGGTACGATGGAAATGGTTGGATTCATCCCGAGGGGTAAAGTGTATGGGGGAGGGTACAGGGGCCCATATTGAGATACTCTTCAATTTGTATAAGAACGGTGAGTTCTCGGGCCGAGCAGAGGTGCCTCTATTCGATGGTAGTAGTAATACTATACTGATAGACTTCAAGTGGATGACATCAAAGAGGAATGGGGGAATGGTTCTTCGACCTCTCTTCCGAATGGATCATGCCACAATCACTCACCCAATGGAGGTGCGAGGTGAATACCAGGAGGATGAGAGCAGCAAAATAGCTGCAGTGATGATGCAATACCATCCTTGGTTGACCAGGGCCACCCCAAGGGTTAGCAGACCACGTGACTGGCTCACCAATGAGGTCTTCTTCAACAACATCTTCCTGCCAGCCATGGAGAAAGCGGGCTTAACGGTAACGGCTGGGTTTGGCAGCACGGATATCTTCGACTATTCCTATAACACTGACTTTCGCCATCTCACGAGTAATGGGCAGCGGACAGTAGAGATGCGGGGTGGGCAGCAGTACTTCCCACCCTATGGCTGGAAGAGGTTTGCAGTGGCGGTCCGCGGGTGCTACGACTCGGGTGATAACTCCTGGTTAGGTGGAAGGGCTGGTTCCAGAAGTGATGGTAAAGAGTGGGCCGTTGCTTATCATGGTACTAGTGCTGCTAACCTACCAGGTATCCTAGCACAGGGTATTAGGCCAGGAGTTAGGCAGAACTACTCTCAAGAGCTTGGTATTGAACATGGGATATACTGCTCACCCTATCCAGATACTGCTGGGGTGTATAGTAATACAATGATGGTAGAGGGTAGACGGAGGGTTGTAGTGATGCTACAGTGTAGGGTGAGGCCAGAGGCTGTTAGACAGTGTGAGTCTCGACAGGAGTATTGGGTTATTGAGAATAGTGATGATGTACGACCATACGGGGTATTGGTGAGGGAGCTCTCAGATGATGATGATGATGATGATGATGAGCATGGCTGAGCCGTATATTGTAACTTCAGTGTCTCTTTATTGTTAATAACGGGGCCTACATTACTGCTGATCATTATTCTCAGCAATTGGCTCTTCTCATGGGCGGTCAGCTTTCCTGGTGCTATTATCCTAATAGGAAGCCCACATCTCATCACAGCGGCGATCGAGGCCCTCCCCATTGGGACGATCATGAGAGTGTTTACTCACAACATGGCTTGGGTGATAGGGCTCCCAGCATGAGTGGTGCTATACCGTGAGAAGCCTCCTCATAACGTGTGAGGTCGATACCCTCCTCTTGTTACTATCTCAGGTCGTTGCCCATTAGAAAACGGAGAGCTCGAAGGACTAGCCGCCATGCCCCTACCAACGTTTTCAATTCCTCAATCGACGAGAATATACTGCAGAAATATGCGACACCACGTGAGCGGGCAGGGAGCATTACTCCATTGACAACAGCTCGGTCTGCGGGCTTCACTACTCCAAGATTATACAAGGATAGAAGAAGATATAGTGATAGAAAAGAGAGGACAACGGACAAGTCGTATGGCTCCCTGATGATCCCTCAATTGAATGTCATCTATGCCTCAGGTCAATACCTAAAGTAGAGGATGCGGGAGATATGGAAGATAGGTTGCGGCGGATAAAAGACAATAGATTGAGCCTTGATGAGATACTCTCTCGTACTGATGACATCCATGCTATGATACATACTGCTCGTGCACGTATTGCATGCTGATATTGTTGTTCATTACCAATGATGTATACTCGATGGCGTTGCGTATACTAGTTCCTTGGTGGGAGTAACTAAACCTCATACGATGTTGTCGAGACAACGAAATGGAAGTGGCTGTCAACAGTGATGGATCCTGACTCTAATACTGATGCCTTCAAATCATCATCAAGTCGAGGAGGTCAGCCAGCCTTCAAAGCATCACAATCATTTGGTAGTGAGGACATCGTGGCAGTGAAGAAAGCCGAAGAGTCGGTGTGGCTACAGCAGGAGCAGCGACGACTCCGATGGTTACAAAGGCTTAAGGAGAAGGTATCCGACAGGGAAGAGCAAGAGTGAGGCCCGAGAAATCACTCTATATGGAGGCTATTCTCACGTTAGGTTCGAACGTATACAAACTGCCAAGAAGGCGAGGTTGTCGCGGCCGAAGGAGTCGGTATGGAAGAGGTCACGGGAGTTACCAGGGAGAAGGAAGAAGTGGCAGCGAGCTGAGGGGCCGGTACCCTCTACCTTTGAAGAACAACCGCCACCGTCTGGAAGTACTACTACGATGTGTCCGGACTCGGACTATCGGTTTGAATAGTGTGTTATGAGTATATTGCTATCAGTCCTCCCTGAGGCATACGATGATGATAATAGCGAGATGAGTGAAGACAACTGTGATGGTGGTATGGAAGCACCCAAGAGCGATGAGGAGCAGTGCGAACGTAAGTTCTACAGTTAGACTTAGCTTGATCCTTGTCAAACTGTACTGAGGCGGCGTTGAACTTGAAGAGTGTCGAGATAAGAGAAATTGTATAGCATTGAAATCCGCATGAACGTTTGAAGATAGGTATTCACACGTCCCACATCATCGGAGACCCGCAAACACTCAGCCAAGCCCTTCCTGTTGCTTTCATCAATATACCACCAAAACCCTCGTAGATTTTCACTTTGGGTTGTTATTCGTGTTAACTATCGAGGGAATACATGACGATACATCCCAGGAGTAGCACGCCTCGACACACAACTGGGACCGATTTCGAAAGATCATCATGATATTATACCAATTGTGTCAATTCATAGTATATGGCATGACTAATCCGTCAAGGCTCGACTACGGTAGGCATCCTCTCCTTACGTAATGGTCCCATCGATCGTGCAGAAAGGACCTACATGCCTGGCTAGCCGCGCTAGCTCAGCACACTTATGCGTGTAACACGTCTTGTATCCGTTTTGTGTTTGGTTAACTCAGACTTCAGTTTCCGTTTTCATAAATCTCATCAACGAAATCCGGACTATCTACGAAAGTCGAAGTTTCATTTCGGATTTGGAATCTCATTCTGTGGGAGACTTCGTTCATTGCTATGTATTATGTATTCGGGTGAATGTCCCAACTCTTATCACTACGCTATCGAATCGATTAGCGGTTTGCTACCATCATGATGCTGGAGTAATGATGGTAAGAGATACCAAATGTTACCACACTACACTGAAGGGGTACAAAATGCTAACACTCCCTCAGTGCTAAAGTGTCTCGCGCTACATATCACGCAAAGAATGTCCCACTGCAAAGCATGCAAGTATGCAACTCGTACATCTCTTATGGTCTCTTGTCGGTCCACAGAGGACTCCTACGTATTTAGACTACTCCGGAAGAGTCTTCTTTTTAGGGCGTGCGCTTTTGTCATCAATAGCGCACAATTAATCTTGCATTTTTCGAGTCGTAATTTTCGACGTTGAATTGAACCTGATCGTATAGTACGTAGTTGTAAGGCTCACTATGGTGGTCCTTCCTCCCCAAAGGCTCGATCAAAGCTTACTGGTGTCCGTAGACACTTCCTATCAACTAGAAAAGAAACCCGAGAGGTTATTCAGTCCTGGTATGTTTGTCCTATCATTGGTCACCCTCCTAGATGTTGGTTTCCTCCCCTTACTTCAGGTTCCTTCCTATCCACTACTCTGTTGTTGGTAGTAGCTGCCTTGGGGGCTGGTGCACTATCCCTACCCTATGCCATGCTAGGCAGTGGGCTCTTGGTTGGTATCCTATGCTTCGTCATTTGTGCATGCATTGCTGTTACCAGCAATCTGATCCTCTTTACTGCTGTCACTAAGACCGGTCTACACACCTATGGTGCTGTCGTCGATTGGGCATTGGTCCGTCTTGGCTTCAAGAAGGCGGATTTACTAGCAGCAGTAGGGCAGCAGGCTGAGGGGAATGCTCCCTATTACTCTGTGAGTTAGTATCTAGCCTAGGATATGTGTTGACCCTTATTCAGATATCCCCTTTGAGGGTCTCTCCTCGACTTGCCTTCTTTGAGCTTTGGGCCTTCGTTTACTGCGTGATGACCTGCGTGAGCTATCTTGTATTCCTCGGAGACTTCATTCCTTCTATCACTGGGTATTATTTACAAGGAATAGATCCAGAAGTGTTCCGTAAATTCTGTATTGTGGCCTGTGCATATTTGGCCATTTACCCTATGTCGGTATCAAAAAGGTGAGTCGGTCGCTTCGTTGAATTCCCTTAAATGTAAATGATCGTCATCTTTAGTATATCCGTACTTCGTTACGTATCATCCCTCTCTATTTGGGCCGTGGTCCTGACAGCTACAGTAGTGTTGATCCGAGCACCCTCACTCGTCGAAGAGCATCCCGAGGAGGTACCCACAATTAGGCACAGTGGAATCGTTAGTATCCATTCAGGCACGTGCATCGTTGAGCTTGTCAGAAGGTCATGTGAATATAAGCACATTCAACACGTTTTCTGTGTGCATGTTTGGTTTGATGAACCAGATTCCGGCAGTTAGAGTGGCAGCAGAGATGTGACATACTCGTAGCAATTATCATTGTAGTTAATGTTGCTCCTTGTTCAGGTCTCGTCCGACCACTGTTAGGCGTACCATCGCTAATGTAGTAGCTGGTATCGCGCTCTCTTCTATTTACCTCTCTATGGCTATCGCAGTGTGAGTCCACGTGTATGAACATACTAGCTATATGGTTCATTTGATAAGGTACCTGTCTTTCCTTACTGAGACTACGCCTAATTTCATGCAAAATTATGCGGCTGATGATCGTATTATATTCGTCTGTCGTATAGGACTGACTATCATGCTACTTGTTGCTGCCCCGATGAATCTCCTACCCGGACTGGCCGGTTTCTACAAGGCTCTCGAGCTAGGCGCGGGGGAAGGATCGGTAAGTGAGAGTGAGCTCATTGTTCATAACCCCGAGGTGTTTGGTAGGTTGGTGATGTTCCTGTGAGAAATCCCTTCTTCGTCTTCTGTCGGTGGATCGAGTTGGTTGTCGGTATCCAGTCACTACTGATGCAATACGGAGCACCGTTCTTCTCTATCACAGTATGCACCGCTATTGCCCTACTGGTAGGTAGGCTGCTTGTCTCTTGTTCGATTGATATAGTTTACATCAGGTCCCCAATGTCGCCTCGTTTATTGGCTCCATGTCCTCTTATTTGGCTGCCCCATTGGTGTGTGGATTCCCAGGTTTGGTGTATGCTGCACTTCAGAAGGATGATGACATCGGCAAGAAACGGTGGCCTCTCTTGACCATAGCTCTGGTATTCATTACTCTACTCCTTTGGGTAACCGCTACGATAAATATCTTCTTTTCATAAAGTATCCGTAGAGATTCGATTGTCATTTTCCCCATTCTCTTATTCCTTCCATCTTCATACGCATTAGATCACTTAGTCCATCCACAAAGGCATTATATAAAAGATATAAAGTAATGTGTGACTCGAATAAATCTGGTCTTATTCGTGTATTCATAATCATCGTAAATCCTGTTACTTCGACGACGTCGGGATGAAATATCTGATAGTCTGGTTACTGATTCTGATGGGCTCACTAGAAGGAGTTCAGTCATAAGTAGTGGGATTTCGTTTTGTATGCATACACGAACTTGCGCTGTTAATACTCAGGGCATCCTATAGGTATTGACGAACGTATTGAAGTCATTCGTGCTGTTCTGAATCGGCAGCCCTGTGACTCGCTTTATCTCCATCTCCACTTGGACTCCTATTCTCTACTAGTTGCTGCTCTCTCTTGAACGTTCGAACCCTACTCAAATGACTGTTGATCGATCTCATCCGGTCCCATCAGCATCAGAGGAGTTCTGGGCCCATTCCAAAGGTCCAGTTGTGAAGCGACTCTTCGAGAAGTGGGATTTTGGTCACCTGACGACTAAGAGGTTTGTTGCTGTCGAGCGATAATGTGGGAAGGCTGTCTGTGTAAGGTTCTTGGAGGAACTCGAGATGATTGGCATCAGCGTGACTGAAGAAGTTGCCATGTTGCTATCTCACAATGAGAAGGCTCGTGGGGTGCATTTTACCGAGTTTGCTAAGCTTATTATTCGTGCCAATAAGCCTCGTCATGAAGCACCACCTCCTTCGCCGTCTCCCAGCCAGGTGACCAATAACATTATTTAGATTAGGTTCCGACCTGATCTGTTGACTTCTGTATAGGTATCTAACGTATCTTGCTCGACTCACCGACGTACTGGACTACGTCGAGAGATTCTCCGTCTTGGGGATGAGAGTGCATCGGCTAAGGCTCCGTTTGACAATGACTATGTCACTGACGATAACAGTCCTTCCAGCCGTTCAATATGCTCTGCTGCTGCGTCATCTGTCGGTAGCCGATACAGTCACCGTAGTTATGGGTACGATGTCCTACGGAGAGGTCGTGGAGTGGCTTCCGCGGTAAGGGCTGCCTTCGTATACTTACGTTGAGCTGTTTGCTGCTCAGCTGGGCGCTGACGATGATGATATTGCTGAGATTGACGACCTGGAAGCAACTCTACGGAGTAATGCCTCGTCGATGCGTCACGCTGGCGAATCGAGTCAAGGTAAGAGTGCCTACAGAGCTCTGCTTTCCGTGGCGCTCTCATCCAACTTGGAGGCCTGTATTGTTGCTGTACTCAGTGGATCTAACGGGGGAGGCACGTAGACATACTGAGACCCAACATTCAAGAGCCGCATCTGACCATGGGATGGGAATATTACGGGGATGTGCGACTGCCAAAGAGGAAGACCATGTGTTGAGTCCAAAAAGAGGAGATAACAACAGCCACAAGACCAAGAGGCATTTCACAGTGAGTCTCGCAGTGCCATCACCCTGTCTAAGGTAGGCTGATTCGTATCAGGATCGTGGCGCAACATTCAATCCCTTCGTCTGGGAGGAAAGATCAATGGAAAATTCCCGAGTGGATAACTCCAAGAGGAGCCTTTATCCGTTTGCTACAGAGCAGGATGATCTGAATACTCTCCGGTAGGGCCCTCGGCTTTAGTCATTGATTGCCTATTACACTGGGACACACTTATATTAGGTGCTCAATTAATCGAGCTCCGCTTAATCGAGTTGGTAGGACGGCAGTTGGTGGCACTGGTGTACATCCAGATGCCAGGCTGGCCGCATTATTGGACTAAAATTACTTATCTTTGATAACCATGCATGCTACATTGTGCATCCAGTGTGTCGTCTTACTGGAGGTCAATGCCTAATCTTGCTGCATGTTTCGTTAACACTTGGTGGAGTGAGCTGATACTGGAGCCATCTGAGCTTGGAGTAGTATAGGTTGACTACGGATTTGCTGGCCCTTCGGCCTACTGTCTTTCGACTCTATGTCCCTCCCTATGAGCAGCAGTAGGGATGACGATGAACTCAATGGTGGCAGTGAGCTAAGGAGAGCGAGTAGGAGGCTGAGCATGGCGATTGCCCGTTCGCAGCTAAAAGCCCTTAACAGTATGGGTCAGAATTCTCGAGAGGATACCGAGAAGGTGAGTAGAGTCCTCAAATCGCTTTTATTAATCATCACAGGTTGTCGATACCTCCAAACAAATCAGCAATAATCCCGCTCCTATGAATGACGGCAGGGCATCCAAGTCGTTATGGCGGAGAGCAGATAGTGCTCAGCGGATCAAGCCTCCCCTCCCCCCGGTGGTGTCGCAGCATCCTGCTACCTCCCTTGGTGGTAGTGCACTTGAACAGCATCGACGCCATGAGATGAATAGAAGCATAGGTCGAGTTGATACGAAGGAGACTCCTCGTCGCTACGGCGATGGGGCAAGTGATTTCTAGTAAGGATGGGATTTGCTCTCGAGTATTGCACTCTGTTTCCTCAGCGGCCCGTTCGATTGGCAGGCTAGAGCATCGCTCATTCACTCGACATGGAGACTCTCTCCTCGACAAAGACGGCAAGACTCGGACTATCGTAGTGATGGCTATCAGCGGTTTAAGAAGGAACTGCAAGAAGCAGCGTCTTCCTTTCGAGCACGTAATCCTGTGGGGAAATGGAAGGACCCATTCCAACAGGAGAGACCTCGAACTTCCAGTGTGGAGTCGGTATCTTCCCAACCACCAGCAAAAAAAGCGACACGCATGATGTTCACACCGGTGGGGGAGAGTACGGAGGATTATATAGAGCATACGATATTCATACCAGTGGGAGGTTGGAGAGACATCACTTTCGTACCCGACGTCCCAGATGGTATCGAGCTCATACCTTGCTCAATCTACCTTCCCTCTGTGATCGGTAACGGCCTTGCTCAAGGTGAACGCGACCGACGAGATTCTTACCTAGCAGGCGAAGATGGAAGAGTTGTACGCCGACCGTCGATGCATGAAGAGGGCACGCCGTCACTTCCCGACCATGAGAGGCGGCGGTCACCACCACCTGAGCATCTATTGCACGCGGAAGATAATAGGAAGATTGCGGCTCCTATTGCCTCAGCGATCCGAGAGGGTAGCAGAGGGACCTCTCGGGATGAGTCTAGGTTGGGCAGTCGGCGAGGCTCAAGTGAGCGAGGTAGCGTAGCTCGGGTCGTGGTACCCCGATTAGCTCTCGGCAACAACGTGCACTCGGCAGCAGACCCCATGAGGCCAACATTTGGTGAGAACAGATATCGACGGCCGCCTGATGATGAGGGAGGGTCTGCATCGGATAGTTTGGAGGGTTCGTTGGAGAGCGAATACGCATCTGTGATGAGTTCACCGTATAGCGACTCTCTGGATGGCCGATGCTCACCAGGCGAGCGAGAGGGGTACTTCGACCGAGTGCCTCGATGAGCGTCTAGTTCTGGAAACGGTGTTTGGTCCAAGTGCAACAACTTTATGTAAATTGGTCCGTTTGATATGCCACCGTCATTGCCATGTACTAGGTTAAACCCAGTTGTTATCACTAGTAGTGAGGGTTAGTTATATGTAGTGTGTCAATGAGGAGTGATGGATGAGAGAGTCTTGTTTGGGAAACGATTGTGTGTGGTTCCTTTCCTCTCGTGCCTTCTATGTAGCAGAGAGTTTTGTCATATCAAAGGAAGGAGTAAGCACGCGGAAGAGAAAGGTTGATTCTCGCAAATCAAATCTAACGTATATCCGAATATCCGGTAGTGAGCCTGGCCCAGGCTCACCGGATACCCAGGCTACCTGGGTAGTGCTATACAGAACCGTAAGACCACGTGACTGTACAGAAGCACGTCATTTGCTACGGATGGTTGTAGTATGCTGTACTACCATCCACATATATGAGCTCTTAAGGCCAATACTCAAGGCGGTGGCAGCTCGATAGACGGCAACCCCTGGCATCTATGCTTTAGAGTCTCGAGAGGCACGCTTCGCTGGGACGTTGAGCTGAGTATTGGTTCGTTGTTGGTGCATGTGGGAGTGACATGTCGCTATGAACATGCCATCCGGCTGTGGAGAGCTGATGGCGAGGTCGAGGGACCTCGAGAAAGTCATCTAAGCTCTCCTCAGGCTCCTCTGTCGACTTTGTCTCCGTCGGTGTAAAGCGAGTGATATATTCGTCACATTCCGTATGCCAAACCCAGCGGCTCCCCAAATCCTCTGGTCGTGCTTAGTGATGGCAAGCTGTATGGTGGGAGTAAAGCAGTCCGAATGGTCGAGATAAAGTTGAACCGGAGGATCACTGGAGCCAGAGTTGACGGTTATCACTGAAGCTCGTGGAGCGTCTCCACGCACTGACTTGCGCTGCAGCTGCCAATTCCCCATTGCAGTTGTCCGTGTTCGGGCAAACCCTCGATACACTGGTAGAGATCTTAACCATGGTTTCTAGTGACAAGTGGCTCTGTAAGAAGTCGTCCATGTAGAAAACTTGGCGCACTACGGATAGGCTTACTAGGCTGACAAGGTGACGGTCTCCTGGAGACACTGTTTGTACGTCTGATCCAATTTAGGGCGAGCGAGATTGTACTTGAGTCTTCATCATTATTCGACAACACATCATCATCAAGACGTGTACATTAATATTACTTGGCTTAAATCCTTCAGCAAGGCGGAATGACAACCGACGGTCGCGTGTTCCGTGATGGGCTAGTGATAATGTACGCTCGGCGTTCCTTTAATTCACGACCCCTCACCTCGTGTACGCGTGGCTCTTGGTAAGTTAACAAGAGTGTCGTCGTCGTCACTCGTAACTTAGTAGATCTCCTGCATTGCTGGCATGTCTGGATAACAGCGGTCACTGTCGTCTACAATATCATGGAGTACGATGATCATCGGTGAGCTCAGGAGGCCGGGGCACCTATTGCCCATCACCAAGATGACGATGCAATCTGCTTACCATGTACTGGTGGAAAATGGTAGGTCCAGACAACTACACAACAGAGCTACATCACTGATGTAACATCAGGTCTACCTTGTGAAGCTCAGAGTCTTCCTCTACAGGGTGTCCCCGATTCCAATACTAAAGGTTGGTTCTGGGACTGCCTTTATGAACAACGGCAGCTCTCGTTTGATCGGTATAGGAAAGGGCCGACGGACCTCTCTCCAAGATGGTGGTGCCAGAGTTTACAGCGAAGTGGGTGTAGACTCTGCTATGGACTAATCAATGCTGCCATTGAGGATGATGAAAGGCAGCGAACTGGCGATACCAATACTGTGCTTACCTGTTACAAGAGACTTAGTTAAATCTTCGGTGATCTTAACTTGCGGCATAATAAGGAAGGTTCGCTTGAGTCTAGAGCACGAAGTTGTGGGAGGGCTGCCCGATTCACATCTATCACGACTAGGAGATGTTGGACGGATGCAATGAAGATGCTGTTGTCCATGCGCTCCTTCTGACATCCCTTATTCCCGTTCATCTGTATAGTGTTTACTGTATGTATGTTGGATTACCTATAGCAGGCCGCCCCTCTTTATCCTTCTATGGATTCAATATTGTATCTGCGGTCGAGGTCAGCAGTGTGTGTACCGATTGAGCGAGATTGGAGTGTCAATCCGAATACGATGGTGAATAACGACAGCCCACGGTAGTAATGAGGAAGGTATGTATATGAGAATGCTTCCTCTCAGATGTCAAGTTGTTGAATGCACTACTACTGGCACTCAGACTTCCATGATCCTGGAAGAGCCTTCTCCGCTCAGAGAGGATGGGATGGAAGAGGCCCAGTTAAAACGCCTAATCTGGTTTAATACAGTGAAGCTGAATGAGTTACGGCTTGTGCTCCTCGGCTCTGCACGTCCATAACAGCTTGTCTTACCATAACTGTTCGTGTAGGGTTTTATTAAGACCAGTCATCTCCTTTCTAACAGTTTTCCACCCTGTACCTGCCATGCCTCTCGATACAGGACGATTGGGGGAAGAAGAGAATGACCAAAATCGAGATTCCTTGCAGCAACAACAACATCCAGCGCTGTCATCACAGTCGCACTATTCGGTGCGCAATACTTTCATCACTTTTCCTGATTTTGAGTCTCCACTCGACGAAATCAGCAGCCTCGATTCCACCGGCAATGATCGTCCATCGATGTCCTTGAAGGCCAGAAGTATGCCGGAAGGCACCAATATCGATAGGGCTGCATCCCGCTTGGTTAGTATGTTATTTCGTGGTGGGGCTTTCGGACTTGAACCACCACCATCATCACCACCTGCTGCTGCTGCTGCTCCACAAGTTTCTGACTCTGTGAGCTTTCCCCTTCTGTGTGATGGATTATTATTGTGGTGTTCAGGTACTACATCAGCCGTTCTCTGGCCCTCCGGAGACCATACCTGAGGTTAGGCCTGAAGAGAGCTCTGATTCATCAGTTCACAGCGACAATACCCTGTCTAGCATTGTAGTAGGAGTAGGAGTAACAGCTCCTCAAAATACTACAATGCCTGATGAAACCACAGGGTCGCTACTACTCGATACTAATGTCACTGGATTCACCACGCTCGATTCTCTAATTACCCCCTCTAATCCAAGCAATGAGGTTGCTAATAAAATCTCTGCTCCCACGTTTGGTGGTAAGGATGGTAACAAGAGGTCGACAGGTCCGACTCACATCAATATGAGTGAGCTTACTGTGGAGAATCGAGATCGATTACTATCGTTGATACCTAGAGATCCTCAGACGGGAATGGTGCTCTCTGCGGGCAGTATCGTGCACGAGCTTGGTACTTGTAGGCCTTGTGTATTCGCTGGTAATGCGGAGAGGCCCTGCGTGTACGGTATGGAGTGCCTCTTCTGCCATTTCCATCATGATATCCGTAAAAGATCAAGGCTGAATCGTAAGCAACGTGAAGAAGCTCGTAAGATGCGGGAGACTCAGAATTCTATTGGCTTTAGTCTTGGTTCTCCATTACTTGGTGACGATGCATCAGCAGAAGAGATCTATACAAGTCTTGTAGGTCATGCTCATGCTGTGGAACTACAAAAGATCACACTAGATCATCTATTGGATGGGGGTGACGGTAATTCTGACACTACTATACCGTCATTCTATACATCAAGTATACCATCACGTACCATTCATCAATACAATAATACTACTATGTCATAAGCCCCCCGTAGTCACTTATGATGTCGTCATTGTATACTGTGGCTCTGTGGGTCATCATCGGTTGCTTGTTGTTAACCTATACCTAGTAATGATCCATGATTTATTGATAATCTTTGGTAGAGGATCTTTGTAGAGAATTCTATTCATTAATAACGGGTCTAACAGATTCTTGGATTCTCACCACTGTTTGTTTTGTTGATGTACAGGGATGAGGCTTGTTTGATGATAGTGTGCATGTCTTTGGGGCTTCCGTCGTTCCCTTGGGATCATCGGCCATTAGCAACACTCATCCTCCTCACACTACTTTTGATAGTTGAAACACTTCCAGCTATCTTTAACGTACTTGTTGCTTTCCTGTGGATAATGATTGCTACGTAAGAAAAGGAGGGATTTATCTCCGATACAAATTCTCTTAGGCAACTTAACAGCAAACGTTCCTCCTCTCTACTGCCTCGTAAGGAAGACGACGCTTCGCAAGGGAAGCATTCCGTGTACCATACAGCCAAGTCGGAGTTCATCGAGGTCTCATTAACTCGTGACCGTGGTGGGAGTAAAAGCACAAGCCTCCAGTAATGAATAGTAGCCGTGGTCCGTTAGATCTGATGCTGAGATCATTGTTAGGATAGTGCCACTCGGTGATCCCCATTACCAAGTTGTTACCCAAATGATGCAGGATCTACCTCCCCACTCTATTTTCAACCACTGTGCATGGCGAGTAACGGAAAGGGATTACCTTCGCTTCGCCAGGGCCCGGAATGGTGACAGATCGGATGAATGATGAAGTGAGAGAGCCTTTCCCTTCCCATTAGGAAGAGTGAATGATGCATTGAAGTTAATGAAGGAGCATGTCGAGTCCCGTAGAGTCCATGGTCCGATTGAGCACATGAGGCCACATGTACACTTTCCCCATGCACTAGCGAGCAGTAGGTTTAGATGGCTTTGAGGGAATTAAGATCGATGTGTTCAGAGGCGTGGAAGTTCGCTGGAGTGACTCGTTGTCGTCATCCTTTTGCTGTCTTCAAGGCCAAGAATGTCGTCCCTAAGGACATACAAGGCGGCATCACTGAGTATTGAATTCGTTGTCTCTTCTTCCTCGGACCATTTCATTAGGTACGTCAAATACTTAGCATACAACCTGGATTCGCTCGGAAAAACTGCGGATTCTATCCCTGAAAGTGATGGGAAATTAGTGGTTCTCATAGACCTAGAAGTGAGTCTATAAATGTATTGATGGTTTGTGTGACTGATATCTTGTCGTGGTCTTAGGGGTGGTCAATGTCTCGAAATGTCGACATGTCATTCGCCCGACAGTTTGTACGTCTTGCTCAGGACGAGTTCCCTGAACGCTTACACGCTGGGATACTCGTAAGAGATCCTTCCGTGGGGCCTTTGTTGACGTTCTCTATTTAGGTTAATAGCCCCTTTGTTTTTACTGCTTTCTGGCGTGTATTGAAGCCTTGGCTGGACAGTCAAACGAGAGAGAAGATTGACATTTTGGGCAGCAATTTTCATGATACTCTAGTGAGCAGGTTTTTGGACAAGGAGCAACTGGAAGCAGTATACGGTGGAACGCATCGACCCTATCCAGACACTGTTGAACATACTCTGTCATTCTTATAATCCAATTGCACATGCTCATGCGAACTTCAAGTTGATCGATATGATGATAGAGTTGTGTATAAGGCAAGATTACAATTGTGGCATTTCCAGCTGCTCCTAGACATATGCCAAGTTAGCATTGCCAACGCACTCAGCATGCTGAGCCCATCACGTCTCAACTATACCACTGATAGTCATGAATGAATACTGATCACTCGGTCGAGCAGTAGCAAGTGTACATGATATACTAGATTCATCAACTCCCGCATGATCTGGTAAGAGACATGAGAACAACCATGCAAACATACATAATCCACTTTTTCATACGTTGTGCACTGCTCATATGTAAATAATGTCGTATGATAGAAGTAGATAAGAAAACTTACATGGCTTGTTCTAAGCGACACTCACTCTTTCTATTCGGTCGGGTGGACCATAGTCGTTATCATTCAACTGTCGAACACAACTTCCCCTAGGTGAATAATAGTATAACATACACTGATCAGCCATCATCCGTCAATACATCAAATACCACGAATCCGAGCCAATGCCTCTACAATGAGTGCGAAAAACTAGCTAATCGCGCAAAGTAGCAGCCTAGCCGGATATAATCGGGCTACAGCATGACTTCTTAGCCGGACTTGAACAGGAGGATGGCGACCTGTCCAAGGTAGAAGTAAATGAAGTGCTTGCTTTCATGGGTCACGTAGGAGCCGAAATTACGGCCGACAACACAGTGCCAAGTGGGGTTATACCTAAGAAGGATTTGCTTCGACACCAGAATCGTCTGGAATGGGACGCTACTTCTTGTCGAATTCCTTTTTGATGTAGGCAGCAATATCCTTCTCGATGTTATACCTGGGAAAAGGCGATACACCACACTATGCGGAATATGAGGCCTCTCAATGCCACGAAGTGGGGAAAACGGTCGCGATTCGGGACCCAAAACTAAGCCCAATTAACATACTTTTCCAGGGCCTGAGTGGCACAGTCGATAGCATCCTGTTGCATGTCCTCCGACATGTCGGCGTTCTTGATAACAGCCTTCCGCTCTGCCATGATAACTGAGGGGTGTTTTGAAAGACTCTGAGGCCGAACGCAAATAGCGTCAATCGATCAAAATCACCATCAATCCCACCAAAGCACCGAGCAGCGTTATACCACCCCCACCGGACCATCACAGGAGGGAACCCTGTCTACCCTACGATACTGACCACATTGATCCTTGTAAGCTGTATACGTACCTCGTTTGCCTCACGGTCGCAGCCGGCAGTTTCACGATAGGCGAGCGAGTAACTGCACGACAGAATTGAAATTTCGTGCATTTTTCTTGCAGTGCAGGCATGAACGCGTCATGGTTGATTTTCGGGCGCGTTCTGGTATCATTGCGGGCGATACAATTCAGCAGCATCTACAGTTACATGAAGATAATCCCAATACAAGCCATAATCAAGCAGTGTTGTGAACCCCTCATCTACAGCCTACCTAAAAGTGATAGCACACAATTGTGTCGGTACCATTGTGCGGCTAGGCCGCCTCTTACGTCTCGGTGGGTAGTTCAGTTATGATACTGGTTATCTCGAGTGTTTCAGGTTGGGAGTTATCTAGTGGCCGTTTTTCGTTCAGGTCAAAACGAATTAAGTAATTTCGCATTTGAAGATTGCGAGGCGGTGTATCCCTTAATAGTTGGAGTCTCATTCGCCAGCTGTTGATGTCAGTTGAGTTTTGTGTAATAAGTGAAGATGATATCTTACGCATTCGCTGGAGTCCCTCCTTTCGCCATTCTAACACCTGAGATCACCCAGTCCGTCACTGAGACTTTCGAGCAGGCGAGTAATAAGGTTCAAGAGCATGTTGAAGACTTCAAGAAGACTTCCACTGGTCAGAGGATCTCTGCCGCTGCGAACAGTGCTAGTGGTTACATGTTCGCTGCATTCGACAGTTTCCTCAACAGGACTGAGGAACTTGTGGATCGCATGCTGCCTCCTCTAGAGGAGTCTGCTGATATGGTTCCCGCTGAAGAGGAATCTGATGCTACTGCCACTAGTCCTTCGTGCTCCACTAAGGAAAATGTCACTGAGGATCAGAAGCCCAATACTGCTCCTACTGATAAGCACCAAGGTGAGCTTGCTCGTGCCTTGGCTTTGGCTGGTACTGTGTGTTCTCGTGTATACACTCGTGCTGATCTATACGTCATCGAGCCTTCTAGAGACTACGTGGCCGATATATGGGAGTTTTGGTCATTCGTCTGGTCTGGTGCCAAAGAACTGTCTGCTTCTGCTTGGGAGTCCTCCAAGAATTGGTTCACTAGTAAATACAGCGAACTGAAAGAAAAAGCTCCTGGTGTGTGGAAGTATGTGAAGGGTCATGCAGCTGGATGCTGGGAGTGGTTGAAGGACACTGCCTCCTCTACTTTCACCAAGAGTAAGGAGTACCTTTTGTGTCTTAAGAATAAGGTGGTCGATATCTACAACAGAGTGTTGACTCCCGAGAGGAGACATAGGTATGAGGAGATGTATAAGAGTGTCTCCGTGAAGGTTTATGAGTACTCCAACCTTACTAAGGATGCTATCATTAAGACTGCCAAGTCGGTATACGGCTATCTGGTCACTGTCTTTACTTGGGATAATTTCAACAGCGGTGTCTCCTCCGTGAGTGCTGCATTCGCTTGCCCGTGGGCTTGCGGTGCCGCCGCCGCTAAGGAGGGGGAGCACTAACTTATGTACTATCGAGGTAGATTTGTTGTAGCAGCTAGGTCGCTGTACACACCGCCATTCTTATTTCTATCTGTTTTTTACTTTTCGGTAGTCGGTTGTTCCTTTACAGGTGTATCGCTCTACTTAGAATAGTTAGATGACAGTATTCGAACCAGACACGTTGAGGACCGTCAGGGTTCTTTTTGTAGTTTCTTCGGTTATCTCTCACAGTTGTTGGGTTGCTTCAGTATTGAAAGTATAAACATTTATAAGATCGGTGAACGTGATTCTTCGGGATAGGAATATACTGCAAGGAGATATGGTAGTGTTAGCAGAGGGGAGATGTTCATCAGTTGCAAATGTTAAGAAAGAATATATCCAGCATTTGGGTGCTTTGTCTTGCACATGATACGAGTGCGGCAAAGGTTGGTTGTTTATGCATCCTAGCTTATAAGGAGTCGTTCATGTACCGAGCTCAACTGTACCGAAATCACTGTGGTCTTCGAGTCGAAGATGAACACACAGTCGTAGCCGAAGTTGGTGGAATAGACCGCATATAGGGACTATTGTCGTTTACCTTGTCATCCACTTTTTCCAAAATTCGTGGATAATCAGCATGGTTGTCACGAATCCTTGTGCAAGCTGGGTATTGTGTGATGTTGTTCTCGTGCTAATTTCGATTGCTTATACTACATTTTAGGTTTGGGTGATCGAATCAACGTATCTGGACTCCCTGCTCCGACTTTCCCCAAAACTCAGCACTCCTAATGGTACGGCTGAAGATGCTGATAAACTCATGAAGATTAGCACGTGACCGTTTCTCATACATTCTCGATTACGTTCGAAGAGCCCTATGACAACGCAACGGAGCTGGTCGCGAGGAACAGGACGAGCAGTTGATGAAAACTCAAGGGTGACGTATAAGAGGTTGTGACGGAGCGCATGCAAACGGTTGGTGTATGCTCTCCTCCTCTATGGGTGGAGTATGAAAACTTTGCGCAAGAGACCACCTTTGCATGAAGGTATACCGATAGTTACGCACATATCGAAAACCGCCTCCCCAATCGCTAACAACGAGGACCTGTGGAGAAAATGTTTAGTGAGAGTAATTCTCAAAGCGTCTCACGATCATAGCTTGGCCAGGGAGTATGAGGTCGTGAGTTGTGACGCGGACGTTTGATCCATCCCCTTCTGGTGCCCATCCACGTGAACTTGACAAGTTCACCGCATTCGACACGGTCGATTCGAAATAGACGGCACGACTGATACCGGAGGAAAATGGCGGGGGGGGGGGGACTGAACGAAGACAAACTGCTTACTTGGACATGTTGACCACGTAAATAGAGTATCCAGCGTCATAGGTGGTATAGAGATAAAAACCATTGTTCGCTTCACAGTGGCCAGTTGCTGCTATATGAGACGCCAAGGCAGTCCTCTCCAAAGCAAAACCAGCCTGAATGGGAGGTGGGAGTGGCGACTACTGAACAACTCCGGACATCCTTCGACACTTACCCAGAGCTCTCGAACAATCACTGGTTTGGCACTGAATACACCCAGAGTAAAGCCTTGCCGCTCATGGGTGGTGGCTCCGATACCCCGGTGATTGAATGTCAAGACGACAACAAGAAAGCGAGTTTCCACATCGTTGGTCTCTCCCTGTGTGTGGGAATACAGCCAAGTGTCCAGCTGAACTGTCGTTCGGGTACTCCTGAGGATTTCGGGCTAGTATGACGATGAGGAAGATGATGGCAATCCGAGTACTCCCGCAGACGGGACCCACCTAGGCAAGCTTGCCACATATTCCAGCACGTTGGAATTAGGCGCCGGTCGACGCCTGAATAGAACTATACCAACATCGTTCGGAAAGGCGCTGTTGTTTGAGCTCCTATCAGAGCTCTGAAAGAGGACGCACATCTCAACGTGACACTAATCTCCAGTTGGCAGTTGCAGTTACTTGAAAAACGGCCAAATTAGTCTGACTATTGGCAAATGAACTGATCTCGACTGCGGGTACAGCAGGATGAGAAAATACCCGAGGCATAAGCATCGTAGGAGTCCGGGCCTCTGACCATGACTTCTCGTAAAGGCAGACCGTCACAGAGGAAAAGTATCTAAGACAACTACTCCAGTTTCGCTTCATCCAACGTGTGGCCACTCACCGCCGGAAGTCCGTTAGAGAGATCCAAAACGTCCCTCGGCCTGCCAACGGGCCATGTGTCAAGGAATGCAAGCCCCTCTGAAGTTCAGGTGTCCATTCTGGTGAGGTAGGGCCATAAGGACCACCCCATACTCGTGACCCTAAGGAGCTCCTGTATGCAGCGGAACACCCCCAGCAGCCTACCCCAGGGATTCCTGAGCTTAAGCAACCGCAGGCCGTCAAGAGCCACAACCTGGTGGAGCATAATGCGTATGAATGACTACTACTACGGTCTCTGTACATTGAGTATGGAGTAGCAGTGCTCGCTGAATAACCCCATAGCCTCGTACTCTTCCTTACTGACACCATCGACAAACCCACAGCTCGCACACATAATGTGTACCCCGTCATGGCTGACCAGAGAGCCTACGATAGGTAATGATAGAGCATCCCTACGATGGGCATACCCCACAACACGTCATCGTCTTCCTGGATGATCCCACCATTGGTGCTGCCCTGCTGGTCAGCTTGCAGTCGGTAGACCGTACATGGCCACCCGGTGAGCATGGTCAGGCCTTCTGATGCAGTCCCTGGAACGGATTAGTTCATCACCAAGGAGGGGATGAATTCAACGCATACCTGCTTCGATAGCTTCGTAGGAGCCGCTGAGCTTGGCATAAGCCTTCTCGAGGAGAGATACCCATAGCACTCGAGAGCTCCTGCCCGCAAAAACTCGGTGCCCAGGGGTGGTAGATAGGAAATGGTCATCCACAACCACCAACCGCCATGCACCATTGGAATCACAGAGGCGGACTAGGTAGACTCCCACGGTGGACCTCTCAGTGGTATCCTGAGGTAGGTTATACTACCTGGGGAAACTATGGTACCCACCTGGTACGGGAAAAGATCTTTGACGAGCTCTGGCCGTTGCTGACAGAGGGCCGCCAACGCTGACAGCATCCAGCAATCTCCGAGGGCTCCCTGTGAGCATGGAAGACTGCACTAGTCACAGCAAGATGTCCTCGTACCTGTAGGACGTCTTCAGGGACAGGACCAGTAGTAGGGTCGAAGAGGGTGTACCCCGGGCCAGGCCTCAACCACGGCAGTGCGGCAACCTAGGTGGATGCCATGGTAGAGATGCGGCCAGGCTGAGTTACTTTGTCCCATCTGTTGTGAATATTGCTCACTGTGGTCGGCGGGTGTGAGTGAGGAGGATCCTTGAACAAGGAAAGTGGACCGGGAGGGAAGGCGTCATCAACGAAGGGCTGGTTCAGCTTGAGACACCTATCAATAATGTAAGTATCGACACCAACATAGACTGTCTCACATTTCCGTTATAAACGATAGTCGTGATCTTGCCGCAGTTGCCGCATCCTCGGCTGATAAGATGGACCTTTTAGTGCCATCTTGCCCATCACCGGTGACCTCGAAGACCATGTAGTTGGGGTGAGGTGGGCCTCCTCCCCTTACCTCTCCACTACAGGGCCCACTCTCCACTGGTGTGAGGACCTTACACGCCTGACAGGTCACTACTGTCGCCGGCGGACGGCTTATTATAAACCTGTGAGTAGCACTAAAGACAGCCTATATAGCCGATAAGGAATACTCGAGCATCCTTTTGCAACCTCGACATGTCATCCTCTCTTTAGAAGGACCATTACCACAGTACGAGCAGGAGGGCACGCTCACTGGGTACCACTTATCGCACGTCACACAATACCATCGTACCACTCCCTGTCCACTATGTGGTCTCTGTGCCTGAGGGCGGACCAAGGAACCACTATTGTGCTGAGTCTCCCCCACCTTTCTAGGCGTATCGGCCTCTAGATATGCTGGGTTGGCTTCACTCTCACAACATTTACATATCAGTGCATCGGGTGGGTTCAAAAAGGTACACGATGGACACTGCCATCGACCCGGCTTTACACTCGCCATGGGGCCAGGTGTGAATTACACTGAGAATGAGTACTTCATAGATCAGATTCAGTCTACCCCACTAGCAACACTTGTTTTGCGCTCATCGTCCCCCCCACTATATGAACTCAACACTCCTATTATGTTGTGTTACTGGCGGCGGCCACAGTCATCGACCGGCCAACATCATAAACCCCTACATGCAATGATAATTATTAATACCTGTCCAGGTGCCAACAACACCGCCTGAGAGCGGAGCTCCGAATGGCATGAGGAACGCTAGAGAGGTATTTTGCATACGTAATGTAACGAGGTTTGCGATAAATGGGACGAACCACTTGCTGCTGCTACACCGATGCGTGCAATAAAAACAAACTGCTAGATATCAACAAGTCAACCTTATTTCTTATCACTGCTGCTGTGATCTTCCTTTGCTGATGGTATCTAAAGGTAGCAGGAAGATGCCTGCAATCCGGAGAACCGTTACCTACCACAATACTGTGTAGCTTCTTCCGCCACTGCTTGAGATCCGCATCGAACGCCCTCTTGCTAACCCTCTCATTAGGGTCGGGTGTAATGGGGTCCACCGCTGGATTGCGTTTCCTTGGTGTAACCTGATGTACAAAGTCCATGACTTCTGGCTGCATACTAGCCCTACCGAGGCTCTATATGCTAAGTAGTTGTCAGTCATCTTGCCGATTTCAATCTGTCTGGCCCTTTGTTCGGCCCGTGCTCGCCACTGTTCTTCCGTAGCTGGGACCTCCGACCTATGGTCGGTATCTAACCCCCTCGCAGTAGATTACATCACTCACAATCGGGTCTTCATTGTAGTACCACCAGTCGTCTTCCTCCTACGGGCCCTCAGAATAGGCCGATGCCGTCGTAGCTCAGTCTGAGGTGTCTGGAGGCAACTATTGAAAATGACCATACGATAACAGTAAGCTTACTTTCACACTATCAATGACAAATTCTGCGTCGTGTGCAAGACTCCCATTACCGAAGATTGGGTCGATACGGCCCCCAGCATTGGGATCCGGGAAGAATGATGGGCCCTTAGACACATCCTAAAAAGAGAAAGCAACGGTCGACAGCAACAGCTCCATGGTAAGAGACTAGGTGTCATAATGACTTACTCTATGCCCGCTATTCAGCTTACGGAACTTGCTGGCTGTCGTCATCTCTAACTCGCCATGGGCCCGCAGTGAGGTCAGACGTTTGCCTGTAAGACGTTTGCTGTCCTCCGACAGTCCTGATTAATACCACAAGTCTAGTGATGTTGTTCCACTCCTGACCTGGCAAATTGCTAAGGAAGTCGCCTCCTGTGACACTCCCTTTAGAATCCTCTGGTATAACAATACGAGCGTTGGCCATTAAAAAGCCGAACCCAGCCGGCCTTAGACTCTCTTCCTCCTCCCCAGAAGTCGTCATAAGCCCTAACGACCAGCATCAATTCAAGCCTCAAGCCGGATGTCCACCTGCAACACCAAGGGCCAGCTTGCTGGCATCGGTCGGAGCCTCAATATACGAGTCTTGTGCATCCAGAGGAGCTGCTGCTACCTTGGGGAACGTTGTATTTCCCCTAACTACCGTCCTACGATTAATAGGTGGCACAGGCAGAGAGAAACCTGAGAAGGAATCCAGTGCGGTCCGCGGAAGAATCTGTTACTTACTGTCATCACTGCCGAAATCAGCCCAGCTGACCCTCGATGGTTTCACGGCCTGTCTTCGTTCCGTCTTGGACACAGGTTGTGACGACTCCACATCTTTACCAAAGGAATCTTCTTCCAACGACATTTCCGCCCAGCTCAACTTCCTGGGGCAGCCGTCAGGTTCGGTGCTTGGGGGGACTACAGCCGTCGAAGAAGAGGACGCTGATGCAGATGACATGCTACTTCTATTCAATCAAGTTATCTAAGGACCCTCCATATCCCCTGACCACACATTCCGACAGTATTGAGATGGTGCAATGACACGCAGACAGGCGGAGCGGTGCACTGGTATCGCATATGCAGAGTTACCGATTTGTATTAACATTGTACACATCTCAACCGTGACCGTTGAAGCACTAGAACACAAGATGAGGCATTACCACAGCGACTGCGCCTAACGCATGTCGTAGTCAAGACCATAGAGAATGAAGGACCAGGAAGATACCCGAGGAGATGCAGTTATTATATCCGGCATCCTACTTGGTGGATGAGTCCACTACTGAGAGGAACCTCAACAATAGGACTCATCTTGCACAGAACTTCCAGCTCCTCCTTCACCCAAATGAGCTTATATCAGCCCATTGCATCTCTCGGAGTGTTCATACAATTGTCCAAGTTGATGTCTAATGGGTGTAGACCGATGTGTATCAACTTGGCCTTCTCAATATAGCTTTGATTACATCTCTCTGCACTCGAGCACTGCTGCGAGCAGGTACCAACTATACACCTTTAGTTACCTGCTACTCCCGGCATTTCAGGTTGGCCTAAATGGGAGGAGAATGAGGAGCATCATGCCAGTGTCGTCGATATTTATGAACCACTGCTCACCTAGGTCTAGATCCGGACGACTGGTCGGAATTAGACTCATTTCGGTTTCAGTGAACCCCGTCTGAAAAGCGGTTACGCGAGTGATGATACACAGTCCATACCATCCTTCTGACAGCCTGCCGATACCATCACGACCAGTAGAACTACCCACAGTGGGAGCAACTGCGGGGAATAAGACGGACAGTGATACATGAATGAAAACTCACCCTGCCGGTCATCTCAGATGTGAGTCGTAAATGTGCCACGAAAAAGATACAAGTCATGGCTGGCGGGGAAAACGATAGGGAGCGGTATCCGGAGGCAGGCACTCCACCCATTGACAGATATAAATCACAACAAGCATCATTACGAAACTCCATCATGACGATGAGAACTCAATGCTGAGTTTTGAATTACAATGCCAACAATACGACTACTCGTGAGACTTCAACGCTGACAGGTTACTCAGATTAGTGGTCCCACCGATCCCCGAACCCCCGCCGTTGCCTCCGCCTCCTGCCACAAGCTGCTGCTGGAACAGAGAGAAGGAACTCACGCACCTGAGTAACGACGAATCAAGTTGCGCACTGCGAAGGACACGTCTGACCTAAACTCCATATGGGGCAAGCGATTGAGGATATCCTCTGAACGCACTGTAGTATTGAGATCAGCAGAGAAGTAGTAGCTAAGGAGGGCAACAGGCGACGTAGAGCTCACAACGGGATATGTACAGTATCAGGGAGACCAATGGTATTTCAACAAGGTTAGCCTTCACAGACAATGCCACATCTTCACCTGGTGGAACCCCTATTGGGATGGTGGTGCCTGGTGGAAGACGAAACGATTGTCGATTTGGGTGAATATGGGGAAGATGATCACTCCAATGGAGATTAACGCCAGATGGGAAGCATATGAACACTGGCGGCCTGTCGCTGTTCATAACAGTCTGCCATTGATGGTGTGGTGGTCTTGATCTGCCTGGAGCAGCGCCGGACGGCACCGATACCGCACTAACCTGAATAAAACGCCTGCTGCAGGAATTGAACCGGGGACCTCCCTCCGACCTCCCATTGGAACTGGGCTGCCGGGAAGCGCTTAACACATAGCCTCTCAGCGAATGAGCTCTTAATGGGTAGACGCAGGTCGGCCGATTCATATACGATTCTGATACGGCCCTCGTCAGCTCTGTCAAGGCGCACTACCCAGGAGAAGAATTGACCTAATTGCACGAAATGCACGACGGTCACGTCTGAAACCGCCACTCCCGGTGCTTCTACCCTTGATGACCCGTACTGCTTCCCCCGACTCAGCGGCGCCTCCTGGAGTGTTGTCAGGAAGGAGGGCACGGAGACTAGGGATGTACCATTCATGAGCCGAAGCCGTAGACTCAGGAGGGGAATAGCCGGGCAGGGTCTGATTACACACCAAGGGACCAAGGAGAATGCAGCCAACTATGGGTACATCGATCTCGGCAAACTTTCCTCGAACAGCTGTCGCAGCTTGCCTCCACTCCTGCCACCCTTTGCACTGCCTTAGAAGATCACAGATTGAGTCCAGACCAGCCCATTCCGTAACGAAGCGGACAACACCTACGGAAACACCTACACCGCTACACTCCCATCGTAGACAGACTCTCGCAGTCTAGATCAGTGGCGATGGCCTGAGAGGCCGGGCCAAGCACATGAGCCATGACAAACTGGGACAGGTTGCCGTCCAATAACTTCCTCCTCAGAGTATCAGTGTGGAGTAGACGGGGCAACTGCTGACCAACATAAGCCGACACCTCTCGAGAGATGGAAGGTAAGGAAGCCAACGATGGATGTAGCAGAATCGATAGGCAACTGTAAGGACCATCGCCAAGCAGAGAGGTGAGGGTAGTAGCTACTACTAATACTACTTATGCGGGTCGAGCTTTGGCAGTATGACCTGAGCCACCATATCCTCAGTCAAGGCTTCAATACCAAGGTTCCTTGCTTCAGCCAACACACTCAGTGTATCGGCAGCGGAGAGGGAGAGATGGTCTCCGGCAAGACCACCAAAGTACATGAACCGTACCAGAGCCTTCATCACATTCAACCTATCAGGAGGACTGCTGATCGACTACTGCCACCCCGTCCTACTTCTGATGTATTTCTAATTTATTAGTGGCTCGTGGTTGGCATAGCTGTTGCCGTAGGACTCCACCTAAACCAATATGGTACCAGATTATACAATAAGAGACCAAACCCACTATGAGCCGCCAGGATCACTGAATGAGCCTTTATCTCTCCACTACCACCAGGATCGCTGGATGTGCCTACATACCTTCTTCACGTTGGAAACGGGAGGCCAGAGCTCACAGACTATTGTGAAATCGGTGAGAATACGATCCTCGAACATCCTTCTCAAGTTCATCTGTAACAACTCGTTGCCATCTAGATTCTGCGTACCCTCCTCTCCAATGTGAACGAGTGTCCCACCACCACCACCACTGCAAATCGACTCGGCTTTGTATGATTTCACCGAATCAGGGCGGATCGAGGGCACGCTAGGGGACAGGATCATAGCCATAGAAAGTTGGCACACACCTGTCGTCCTTGCCCCGCAATCTAATCATAACCCAACAGTTGTTAGCTAGAGTAACACATGTCGGGACTGCTACTATCAGACCTGAACGTCTTCCCTGCACGAATTGTACCGCGGCTGGTGGGACTAAATTCTTAAAGTCTTTACCCAAGCCCACGGAACCAGGTGACTATCGGGACATCGGAGCGCCGCTGGTCTAGTTCCAATAATGAGAGTCGTCCGAAGATCTGTCCTATATGCCAGAGGAGGAGCCTGCCCCGATAACCCAGGGACACCACGAGTCTATAATCTACCCATTTACTGCCCTAATTGAGCTGCGAATTATGAAGATCTTGCCCATATGCACGACAGGCTTCAGGGATCGCCATCAAGCCATCACCGCGCCACGAAATTACCATCAGAATCATCGGGATGCGGCTGCCCTTGATTCCTGAGACTGTACTGGTTTCAGTGGATGGAACATTATACCCGGAATGAGTAGGAACTAGCAGGCATGGGGGTACTGAGGACAATACAAGGCCGAACATACCGGAAAGGCTAACAATCATGGCGCATGCTCCCTCCGACCTTCCCTAGTAGTGTACGGCAGACCACTCCCTTGAAGGCCTGGAAAGCCTTGTCTTGGTTCCTGATGGAAGAGCGATACAAATGCTCACGCCCGGATCGAGCCGACCTCAACTCACACCGGCTCATCAAGACACCGGCAGGATGGAGACGTATTCTATGGCGGGCTATGGCTGCTTCCCCTCGTTGTCGTAGGGAGGGGATCCAATGGTAGTGCTCAAGATAAGGACCCAAGGACCGTCCCAAACCACTACTCTCTGGGGGGATATCCTCCAATATGCGTACAAGGAATGATTGTTCCTTCCTAATACCACCAAATAATAGGCGAGGATGAACACCCAGAACGCGGCCAAGGTAAGAGAGGTCTTTACGGAACCTCAGACAGCAGTAAATACGTAGAGCCCATAAAGGCTCCCACAACTCTTCGTTAACGTCATTCAACTTTCCCAGCAATTCCTCAACGGTCGACAATATCGCCTTATCCAGACCCTTGAGGTCCTCCCATCGAGGTCCCACTTTGTCGACGTCCGCTGCCTTAGGACGTAGTAAATAAGCATTCCTAATCCGTCGTGGACAGGCCTCTGTGAAGTCACATGCAGAGTCATTGAGAGCCGGAAGATTGCCGAGGAGACAGACGAGCATCCTCCTAGCAAAAGCCTGGAACTCGCCTTCCGAGACCGCTTTATGGACTTCCGATATGCTCCCAATCCTGGACGGCTGAGTTAGGGCACACAACACCTCCCTATCCTTCACGACAGGTACTCTCCAAAGCCTCTGCAAATAAGACAATGCTAAGCCATTATCCCGAGCCGCCGCATAGACTCGACTTGGGGACGAGCGGAAGGCTCTGATGATACTGCGAGGCAATATATCCCCTTCCAGCGTTCCAGTTTTGAGGGTAGTGAACACATCACACAGCGATATCGGGACTTCCCAAACCTCTACTTGGCTGCCTTTTTCAATACAAATGCCCATTCGATAGGGATATATTCGAGCCCCCCGTTGAAAGTCCAAGCCCAAAGTGTATAGCTCACAGGAGATAGCGTCGATTACTGCTATGTGCCCTTGACGAGAGGTCGATAGAATGGCACTCCAATAACCAGGGAACCATGCAAGGCTAGCTATGGGGTTGATAAGGGAGATGTGGCGTACGAAGGGAGCCTCATGGAATGCTATAAAGGTATCGAAATCGACGATCGTGACCACACCATTGACCGCAACGACAACCTGATGATCCCGAACAGCAACGTCATCAATCACTTCTCTCACACTACCCTCTATGACGTGTACTAGAGGAGACAGCAAGTCGACACCATTGAGAGTTACCACTAGGCCACCGGATTCCACCGTGATGACTGCAACTTCAGAGCATCTCCCACAGACTCTATGGGAGGAGGAGTGGTACACTCGGGAATCCTTGCAGTAATACATTGAACCGCCACCGGGCTTTGCGCATGCGTGCAAGGCAAGTTTGATACCACACTTTGGCGAAATCCCACCTTGAGCACGGCTCAACTTGGGTTCCAATGATACCGATTCCTTTGATGCCAGACATCCCGCGATCGTGAAGACGTCCATACTTCCGCCCTGACTTGTACGTACCACTCCTCCCTGCAAAATAGCCACCTCCTCTTCAGTCGAGCACCATGCCTCTAAGCCAATACCCATGGCTCCATCGACATGCCCCATGCACAGCTTCCCTACACAGGAGACGGAGTTGCCTGATCCCACCAGACGGCTCGGCGGCTTCCACAGCCAAGACGGTACTTCACATAGCCCACACTTTGGTCTGTACACGGCCACTGAGGGGTCTCCTTCCTTATCGATTGAGAGCAGTAGTACGTCACCATTAGCAGTAGAATAGAGAGGCACGGCTAAGAGGTCTTGAGAAGAGGTCCTCCCGGCCCGAGACCAGAGGACTCCTACGTCCTCTGCAGGCTCTTCAACTCTCCTTAGTACAGGCCGGATCACCGGCGATTCGTCACGGCAAAAATCTACACTCCTAGATGAGGACTGCATACAACAACAAACTGGAATCAGGAAATCCAGAGGCACCAACGTAATAGGCAGTGATGAAAGAGACTTAGTACATCCAGCGTTGGGAAGTATGCCACCCCGCATCGCTCCGCTACAATCAACGATCAGTCTTGGGATCATACCTTTCAATTTCCACCCTTTCGGCTGCCTTCGTAACATGCACCATAACCCACCGCCCAGGCGTCAATGCCCTCTACGATAACAACAGATCCATAACGCCGTATTCGAGGATGTCAACCTGACAGGTCCACTCTCAATATATTTGTGGGAGCAACAACGGCGAACAATGGGAAACTCACCAAATCGCATAAGAATAACGAAACGTAATCGCATAATTATAAACTAATTATAAACTACTAGACTGGGCGACAACACAGCGAGGTAGGGTGATATTAGTACTAGATGCCGTCCTACCATCATGCATAATGCTTTCCCTCTAGTCTTCCTAGGTAATTATCGAGTAAGGGAGAAGCTGCAGGACCAGGGGTATGTTTTACGATGTGACCAATGGTGGTAGTATCTGCATCTTAGGGAGGGCGTGACGACGTCATGTTTCCACATCTCAAGTAGCGAGCCCAAGTTGTCGAACTAGACATTATCAGGAACCTGGACGTAACATTTATAGGACGCCTATATGTGGTTCATCAATTGACTGTCCCGGAGTTTCTCCCTGGTATGGTTCAATACATCAACAAGGACATATACATGTTGGAAAAACCGTCAGATATTGCTTTCGACATCGTTGCGTGACGCAACGCAACTTGCGTTGCCTTTGAGGCGTGTTGAAAAGTTTAACCTACAATCGATCAAGTTCACACCCACATTGCTTCGGGCACTTGCATGTCGAAGTGATGTAAAATGTATTTTTTTCTTCGCTGCGCCCTAGAAAATTGTCCCACACGGCGTGCGAAACGGTCTGGGGCCGTATGCGGATCCTGATGCAACAGGTGAGTCAGAGTATTTACTCAGATGAAAAAATCAGATGGTGAGTATTAACCCCTGATTCGCTGATTTTTTACTCTGGAGCGAGAAATCAGGATCATCGCGATGATATGTGAATCTCCGAGCTGATTCGCGAATCTAAAGTTGATTTTTTGGCTGATTAATACTCTTACTCAATATGCCTTGCTCATGAGGCTGATTTTTCGGGTGATTCCATTAAATCTGAGTATTTTCGAGAATCAGGGAATCAGAGATTGGATCAGACATTTTTGACAAGACGAAGAATATAGTCGCTACGCCCCACATCCGAAAGTGACATTTTCAAGAAAGGAGGAAAATTGCGCGGTCGCCAGGGGTGCCAGGAGATGACGGAGTAGAGTAGAGGAGTAGTAGAGAGCTGGATCAAAGCTGTCAAAGCGTGAGACCAGACGTAGGGACTTCTACTCGATCCGAAGGTACCCCTGCTAAACCGCGGGTTGGCTCAGCCGGAATCCTCACCACGTAGAGTTCTCACTAACGTAGGAACCCAACATCACAATTAGATCTAATGGATTTGCTACTCAATCGCACTAGTGAGACCACTACATATAGACCAAGTGCTAGTCAAGCGAGATTACAACGTAAGAGCAACTGCTCCCAGTCGTAAACGACGCACGTTCACAGTCAAAGAGAGAACACGTAGCCACAGTAAGCTACGGTTGTCTAGTATCAATCTAGAACTCTAACTCTCAGATAGAACAGAGGTGTACAATCAATCTCAACATCTTCAACGTGAGTGAAACGTCCAGCCGTTTCAACACCAAGATACGTTGCGAAGATACGCCATCATCTTGAGCACTTAAGTCGTCTTGGTAATACCAAGAGTTCTTTCTTTTTCAAAAAGAATTCATTTATTTCTTTTTCATTATTTCTTTCAAAAATTTTTAAAAAGAAACGAGAAAGAAATGAAAACAATTGAATTATATGCTACAATTTCTAGTCTGAGAATTTACGAAAGATGATTTGAAGGTATGAGCATGGAAATACAAGGCACCGCATATCGGTGATGATTGACAGTCGAGATATTACAAGAAAATGCGACTTACGAGGACGTTATTGTTAAGTCCCCGCGGTAAAGGTAACGGAGGAGGTGATACTAGAGGGTCATGAGCAACTAGGCTTCAACAGAGAACAATCGGGCATCATTTAATGAGAACTGGGCGATTCTGATACAATGCAAGTATACACCTAGATTATATGAACCATAGAGTAGTAGATCGTGGGATGAATTTAAGGTCAATGTCAATAGTTTTTGAACTTCGGTGTCTCGAATATCTAGTCCATGGCAATTGTGATACAATACAAGTATACACCCAGACTCTGTGAGCTATAGAGTAGTAGAGTGTGGAAGAAATTCGGGGTCAATGTCAATAATTACCGAATTTTGGTGTCTCGAATATCTTGTCCATGGCGATACTGATACAATACAAGTATACGTCAATGTCAAAAATTGCTGATTTTTGGTGTCTCCAATACCTTCTCCATGGCTATTCTGATACAATACAAGTATATACCTAGATTTTATGAACTATGGAGTAGTAGAGCGTGGGATTAATTTAAAGTCAATGTCAATGAATGCTGAAGTTCGGCGTCTCGAATATCTCGTCCATGGCGATTCTGATACCATACAAGTATACACCTAGATTCTATGAGCTATAGGGTAGTGGAGTGTGGAAGGACACTGAGGTCAATGTCAATAGTCGTTGAACTTCGGTGTCTCGAATATCTTGTCCATGGCGACTCTGATACAATACACGTATACACCTAAATTCTATGAACTATAGAGTAGTAGAGTGTGGAAGGAATCTGGGGTCAATGTCAATAATTGCTGAGTTTCGGTGTCTCGAATATCTAGTCCATGGCAATTCTGATACAATAAAAGTATACACCCAGATTCTATGAGCTATAGAGTAGTAGAATGTGGAAGAAATTTGGGGTCAATGTCAATAATTGCTGAGTTTCGGTGTCTCGATTCGAGACTCTCGAATATCTAGTCTATGGCGATTCTGATACAATACAATTATACACCCAGATTCTATGAGCTATAGAGTATTGGAGTGTGGAAGGAACTTGGGGTCAATGCCAATAATTACCGAATTTTGGTGTCTCGAATTTCATGTCCATGGCCATTCTGATACAATACAAGTATACACCTAGATTCTATGAATTATAGAGTAGTGGAGTGTGGAAGGACTGTGGGGTCAGTTTCAATAATAGCTGAACTTCGGTGTCTCGAATATCTTGTCCATGGCGACTCTTATACAATACACGTATACACCTAGATTCTATGAACTATAGAGCAGTGGAGCGTGGGATAAACTTAAGGTCAATGTCAATAATTGCTGATTTTCGGTATCTCCAATACCTTCTACATGGCTATTCTGATACAATACAAGTATACACCTAGGTTTTAAGAACTATAGAGTAGTAGAGCATGGGATGAATTTAAGGTCAATGTCAATAAATGCTGAAGTTCGGCGTCTCGAATATCTTGTCCATGGCGATTCTGATACCATACAAGTATACACCTAGATTCTATGAGCTATAGAGTAGTGGAATGTGGAGTGTGGAAGGACATTAAGGTCAATGTCGATAGTTGTTGAACTTCGGTGTCTCGAATATCTTGTCCATGGCGACTCTGATACAATACACGTATACACCTAAATTCTCTGAGCTATAGAGTAGTAGAGTGTGGAACGAATTCGGGGTCAATGTCAATAATTGCTGGATTTCGGTGTGTCGAATATCTAGTCCATGGCGATTCTGATACAATACAAGTATATACCCATATTCTTCGAGCTATAGAGTAGTAGAGTGTGGAAGAAATTTGGGGTCAATGTCAATAATTGCTGAGTTTCGGTGTCTCGATTCGAGACTCTCGAATATCTAGTCCATGGCGATTCTGATACAACACAAGTATACACCCAGATTCTATGAGCTATAGAGTACTGGAGTGTGGAAAGGCGTTGCAATTGGACATTATCTTCGAACTGACAGCTCAGGTTGTGCGATGCATCATGTCACCTTCTTTGGATCGCAAGATTCGATCCACGGGAATTCAGAGATGACTCGGCATGGAAAAGAGAAAGCCTTGGCGTTCTTTCGCAGCAAAGCAAGAGTCGTCCACTCATGAAGATCATTGATATGGAGAGTGGCAAGGACGCAACGAAATATCTCTTCCATCAAGGTAAGAGATTCTCATTGGGCATTAACTCTTGACATTATTCTCTTGAGTGAGTCAAGGGTTTTAGGGGCCTATGCGGACTTAGATGACAAAATTATGTGCACAATGAGGCCAAGCCAGTCTTGGTTTATGTACAGAGATACATCATCATTCGCTGCTCTAATGCACAGCTTGTCATCGATTCCGGCAACTACGTGTGAGCCTGCAGCATTATTCAAACAGCCTGACCGTTGCAAGTAGGTCCCGAATACTTCAAGCTTCATTTGCCTTTACTTCACCTCTTTTGTCAGGCCTACCATAGCAAGTTGCTATTAGCAACCTTCATTCGTCGCGCTCTGATTCGCTGGCAGTTCTCATCAAATTAACCTATTCTTTGATTGAATATCAAGTTTCTGAGGAGGAAGTCCTACCTTGTTACTCAAACGGTTTAAGTTAAACCCTTAGCTTGCTAGGCTGCTCAGTGCTTTCCATTAGAGTGGGCCATTGAGTTAAGGTGTCAGCATTATTCTGGCGGACTCTAAGCGATGGACAAGAATTTTGTGGTTGGAGTTTCCAACAGCTATGATCAAGATTCTGTTCCCAATTGATTCTTCCCAAATTCAGAGTCTGAATACAATGGGCCCTCCGGACCTATTCAGACGGAGTATATCAGGGTCAGTGTAAAAAATGCGGAAATTCGACCGAACTTGATTATTCATACGTGTCATACTCGGCCACACCTCCGGCCACTGGCCTCTGAGAGACCGCCTCTCGTCTGGCCAAAGTTTGGCCGCGAAACCTTCAGACTGAAGGCTCCAGTAGCAGACTCAAGTAGGTTGAGTCAACTAACCTACCGACGGCATTGGTTAGCTTTTATATCATGTCATAGTCAATAGACCCGACCATTTTGTAAGACTAAAGCTCAAAAAACCCGAAGAACTGAATTCTTTTTAATTCTTTTCAATTCTTTCTAGAAACAATCGAACTAATATTTCTTCGTATTCTTTTCGAAAAGAAATACCTAGAAAGAAATAAAAAGAAATAATTAGGGAGAACCCTGCTTGGTATTCCTTTGCGCTTGCCTCGCGGCTCCGCGCAAAATGTCACTTTGCGAGGGTAGAACCTGGTAAATTCGCCCCAAATTCATGAGCATTTCCCGTTCCGCTATAACAATGACAAAATTGTGAAAGAAGATCTTTTGTCGCACGTGTACACATCCGTACTTCAAACTTTTCAATATGTTCACTCGGAATCCGACAATCCCTCAAGAGGATCGATGAAGGGCATTTATTGTTTTTATGAATAATTGATTGAATTAAGGAATGCGTAATTCACACCGTGTGGTTGCATGTACTACGTGCGCTAAACCTCCATCCACCGTTATGTATCGTGTGATCCCATAGCTGAACTGGTTAAGGGTGTGCTTCCACGTGCTCGAAACAGGAGTTCTATTCCCGGGCAGGGTTATACTGATACCCTGTATGCACTACGTGCGCTATAGTATAGCTATACCTCCTTGCACTGTCTTATATTGTATAATCTCACAGCTCAACTGGTCAAGGATACACTTTCACTTGATCAAAGCCGAGGTTCTATCCCCCGGCACGGTCATTCTAAGCACCTAAGCCATCGCAAGCAGCAGAGGAGGTTTACCGTGGCGCGCGCTGAAGTCGTGAATCAAGGTCGAGAATCAGAATCAGGGTTTGGTACCGGGGGTCCGGACCCCCGGTACGAATCAAGGCAAAATAACGTGGAAAAATGGAGATACTCACGGCGTGAGTATGATTCGGAATCACACGCTGAGTAAAAATCAGATTCTGAATCTTTGGCGTTCTCGAGTTGAGTAAAATACTCACGAGTATGAGTTTTGAATCACAATCACGTTGAAAAAATCTAGAATCATGATTCTTACTCACTGGGTTGAGTAAATACTCTGACTCATTGGTTCACAATCAGAATCAATGGCTGAGTATGATTCTGAATCAGGAATCATGATTCTGAATCAGGAATCATGATTCTGAATCAGGAATCATGATTCTGAATCAAGAATCGAAATCAACGCTTGAGCGAAATCAGGAATCAGGAATCGTACTCGCGAATCCTGAATCTGAATCTGGAATCAGTAATCATACTCACGAATCATGAATCTTACTCATGAATACGGAATCTGAATCAACACTTGTGAATCATGGTGTGAGTTGAATCAAAATCGGAAATCAGATAGTGAGTTGAATCAGTGCCTGTGATTCTCGAATCAGTATCCGCATACCGCCCCTGCCCAACAACTGCATCTTGGCAGTGATCGACTACCGCTGATCGACGAGAGTGTAATTCCAGTAGTAGAGGAATTCCCCGCTCCTCCACAGCAAGAATAGGGTCATCGTATGTGCCTGTGAAGAGCCATTGAAGCATCTTGCGCACATCCGAAGCTACTAGCTTCAAGCTAATGCACATATTCAAGGGTTGCGGATTATTGGAGTATGGTGTTGCTTGTCTGGGGATCGCCGGGCTTTGGTTGATTTTTCTCGACCATCGCAGCCCAATCCCTCGATGTAGAGTTATAGTTTGTCTTCAACAAGGTAGGTCCTCCGAGATATTCGGATTGTATTCGTTGTTAGAAATTCCCAGCCGTCATAGATGATCGTTGACTGGAATATGGTGAGACACTGTCTGTGCGTCCGTCCACACAGACCATCGCCTTGCGATTTGAGTTGTCTGGCAGCTCGCAGTGGACTGCTGTCGTGTTATAGGATGTTCTGAACAGTCTGTGACCTGTGGACCATGCCAGTTCGGCTGTGGGCAGGTGCAGATTGCGTCGCAATCTGCCCCGTCTGTCTTGGCCAGCCAGCTGTATCTA